TGAAGGACAGTGGGAACAAACCCCCAAGATAACAGGTGTCAACAGGTAGAGCAGCCTGGCATCCCCCTGCTGGCCACACAAAGGTCAGTTCCAGCACTGGCCCAGCCAGACCAATGCAGACCCCAGTTCCATGTCTGCTTGCCCACGGGGCTGCCTGTCTTGTCTGGTAGATGAGGAAACAGGGGATAATGACCTGGGTCTCAACTTGAACTTGTCCTGGCCTCCAATTTTACAAATGAGATAACTGAGGCTCTGGCACACGTGGGTCCCTCAGTGAGACAAGGGGCTGAGCCAGTGCTGGAGGCTTTGTCTCTTCTCCTTCATGTGCAGCCCAGAGTTTTGTTGCTTCTTGCACATCCAGAAGCATCCAGGAGGCCAGCTGCTCTCCTCAGGGAAAGAGTGAGTTAAAGCAGACCCGAGGCTGGTAAGCAGCTGTGGGGTTTCACAGTGGGCAGGGGGCGTTGAAAACCTCTGGTGGATTCTACGGCTTTGATCAGGCAGGGAGGAGGCAGGCAGAGATGGAGAGCCTACAGCCACGGTGGTGTGGCAGCTGTAAGAAGAAGCTGAGGCTCAGAGAAGGGATTTGAACTGAGGTCCAGCAAGGCCCAAACCCCTGCCTGCGCTATGTGAGTTGCTGGTACTCCTGCCCCCACCCCAGCTACTTTTCTTGCTATTGTTGGAGATGTGAGGAGAGTAGCAAATCAACAGGTCAGCATCATACTCACTGAGGCAGGGAAGGGCTACCTTGATAAGAGAGATAGCCCCTCTCCCACCAGGGAGGCAGGTATCTGCCCAGTCTGGGGAGTCTACCCTTCCTGAACAGCCCCTGTTCTGCTCAGAACTGGCTGGTTATTGGTTTGGACTCTCAGTCTGAACCCTGCCCTGCTCCTTGGTCCAACTTGACACCCCCACCCCCTATTCAATTTTGGTTCCTTGAGGTGTGTGTCCCTCTCTCAAGAGCACTAAAGCCAGGTTCAACCCTTTTTCCAGCCCATAGAAACATCTAGTTTACAGATCGTTCACAGACACTCATATGACAGTTTCTTTGCCTTGACTCTGCCAGACCTTGAAATGGGGGCCATAGAGCAAGCCACTCCAAGGCTCAGGGAGAAAATTCATTTAGAGGCCTGGGGACAGTCTTCTTACTCAGATGTCATCACAGATGAATCCATGGCCACCTCCACAGACCAAGGCCAGAGCTGTTGGTCTGCTCCATCCCAAAGACCAGGTTCTGGCACTTTCTTTTCTGTCAGTATTTATGAGTGAAGTTCGTGTGTTTGTTGCGGAAATACACGAACCATCAGCTCCTGGCTTGGGATCCAGTGGAACTGGAATTGACTTTCCTCTAACTCCACAATAGGCATTTCCAGTAGCTCTGTTTATACCACACCTCTGTCTTTATTGGGAAGCTATCTGTTAGTTAGTTAGTTAGTTAGTTAGTTAGTTAGTTAGTTAGTGTTAGCTAGTTTACAGTGCTGGGGATCAAACTCAGGGACCTACCCATTTAGGCAAGTGCTCCACCACTGAACCACATTCCCAGCCCTTTTTATTTTTTTATTTTGAGAGAGGGTCTTGCTATCTTGCCCCAGCTAACCTTGAACTTATGATCCTCCTGCCTCAGCCTCCGGAGTACCTTGCGTTACAGTTGTGCATCACCACCCTGGATTCCTATTCAAATCTTTCTAAACTCCAAGTTCTGGAAGTCAAGCATTCTGTCGTCTCAAATGTAGGCAGGGCCCTCAATGGGAAAGCTGGCTTTCTGACACTTGAGAGGCTTCTCACACTCATGAAAGAAGCCATGGGGACCAAGGCTGTACCATCAATGACCCACCAAGGACAGTCTCAGAGTTGGCAGAGGGCAGCGTTGAGCCCTGTGGTCAGTCTAAGCTGAAATCTGGCCACCAAACAGTTCCAGCAACAGCTGGCAGCACTGAGATGCCCCCTCTAGGGTCAAGAACAAAGAACATCCTGGGCTCCCTTCTGCAGACACTTCTAGAAAAGTGAAACACCCTGGCTCTGTGAGCTTCATGACATCCTAGCAGATACCCTGGAACTGGGTCCCAGAACCCAGCAATGATGCCAAGGTAGTCCCAGCCCTGGAAGAAGCCAAAATGGGACACAGGTACCATGGAAAGATATGTAGACCATAGGGAGTGCCCAGGCCTGGGATGGGGAGGGGGCATTTGGGCACCAGACTAGGAGATCTGGATGTTTTCCTTCATGAGTGAGATTCCATAGAGGACCTCAAACAGGAGACCACTGCGATCATATTTGCATTCTAGAAAGTTCTCCAGGGCCATGTATGGACTATAGGTATTTGTTCAGGGAAGGGACCTGGGGACAATGCCTAGGTGATTTAGCTATAGGGCTTACTGTGTCCTTCCTGTCTGAATAACAAGAAGAAAGAGCTTTATTTAGTTCCAGCCTGTGCCTTCACCGTTTTTTACTCTTGGTTTGCATTGTGGCACTTTTAGTCCACGCGATGTGCAGGAGTCAGGCATAGTTTTCAACAGTTTGGCATGACACGCCATGCTCGCAGAGCCTGGGCACGGTCTGTGGTGGCAACCACACTAGAAGAGGTGACTGGAGGCCAGTGGGCAAGCACTGTCTAGGATGCAATGGGAACAACAGAGGCTTGCAAAGCCAAACAAGACGGTAAAGGATGGCCAGGATCGGGGGCTTTGGTCCTGGCCCTGGGTGAGGTCTTCCCCTCAATGGGCCTCAGATTTCCTCCTCAGTAATAGGGCAGTATTAAGACCTACCCCATAGGGTTGCCACAGTGATTAAGGCTAAGTGTGGGGGCCACAGAGAACTCTCAGGAGAGACCCTGGCTGGTACTGGACCCAGTGTATGTTGTGGCAGCCTAGAGAGTCAGGCCTGAGTGAGGTGTCCACAGCAGAGACATCCAGCAGGACACAGCCCTGAAGAGGCCTAGCAGGGCCTGAGAGTAGCGGGTTGAGGGGGGGAAAGGCCCAATTTAGTGTTCTACGCAAGGCAGGAGTCTCGGGCCTGTGGATCCACGGGTCACAAGAGCCAGGACCTGGAAAAAGGAGCATGGCCAGCTAGGGCAGCTTCCAGTGGTGACCAGAACTGTGCCTGTGGCTGGGATCAAGGCCCTGACCAAGGTCCCTCAGGACCTGGACCCCCAAGACTGGAATGGCCCCAGTCCCCTCTCCTGGGATCCCAGCTGTCCCCAGGCCATCATTCTGATGTCCAAACCCTCAGCTGACCATGAAGCTGATGGCTGGAAGCACTCAGTCCCCAGTTTTCAGAATTGCCCTGGTTTCCTGGCAGACACAAGGCCCTGGCAACAAGCCCTCCCCAGGGTAGAGACTCTTGCATCACCTGGGAAATTGGCTGATCTGCTGATTCCTCTGAGAGCAGTTTGGAGTTCAAGCCAGAGAAGCCAGCAGTTTATTCTAGTTTGGAATATTTTTTCAAATACTCCAAAATTTTAAAAAGATTAAAATCCAAATCACTTCAGATTCAAACATTTCAGATGAGGGATACCCAACCTGTATTTATATGAACCTAATGTGCTATCTTGGAAAATAGGACCCAATACGAAATTCATCTGTGTCATATGTACCTTACATACCTAGCCTGAAGGTAATTTATGAAATATTCTTAATAATTTAATAAATGAAACAAAGTTTCATAGTGTGGAATTTTCCACTTGTGATATCATGTTGGTGCACAAAAAGTGTTGGGTTTCCTATATCTCAAAATCTGGAAAAAAAAAATCTGAACTCCAAAATACTCTGGTCCTAGGCATTTCAGATACGGGCTACTAAACCTGGATATGTATCTGCACATATTTTTTTTTTCTCTGTTTTCTTAGTTTGACTCAGCACACACTTCCCGAGCACATGCTCCATGCCAGGCCTCATGTGAGCGCTGGAGACACAGGGGATCACACCCTCTTCCTGGCTCTACTGGAGAGGACTTGTGTAGACACACATTAGCCATATGTCATGCCGTGTGCAACCCTTAGAATATATGTTCTGGGAACAGGGACAGATGGCCTGACTCTGGGAAGTAGAGAAACCTGGAGGCTTCACAGAAGAGGAAGGAATTGAGAGGAAAGGTACAAATTTGGGAGAGTGGGCAGTATGTGTGAGACTCAGAATGTGGCGTTGCAGAAAACGCTGCTGGGGTCAAAAGTGAAGTATATAGGAATGAAGGGACAGTGGAGGGAAGGAGCAGAGGGCATGGCAGAGACCAAACAGTGCTGGTCTGCAGGATTCCCACCTGTTGGATTCCTTGGCAGCCCTGCCAGGAGGGGAAACTGGGTGAGGCTTCTGTAAGGCTCCTGTGCCATGGCTGCTGGCCCTCTGCAGACACCAGAGACCTTAGAGGTGGCTGAGATCCCATCTCTCAGGACTTGCCCTGTGGCTTTCTCTCAGCTGCAGCCACGCAGGATGCTCCTTTGGGTTTCATCAGTTACAAGTGACAGAAGCTCACTTCAGGCTGGCTCAAGGGGGGCACAGTCCTAGCTCACACACAGGGTGTGCAGAGGTAGCTGCAGCGTTGGGCCCTCAGCCCTGCCTTACTCTCTGTCTCTCAACTCTGCTCTCTGCTCTGTTGGCTCGTTTTCAAGTCACATGATAACCTCCCCAGAGCTCTAAGCTCAACCCCATTGCAAGGAAAGAGTCCTCTTTCCCCTTGAAGTCCCAAACATGACACTCAAGGCTCAGCTTGGGCCACAGGCTCATGCCTGCACCTGTCACATTGGCCAAGGGAATTGTGGTCATGTGCCATCCCCAGCAACCCTGCCCAAACAATGGGGTGTTATGGACTCTGCTGTCATAGGAGGAGATTCTGGGTATCAGACAATGGACAGAAGCCCACCGTCCCTCCCCGAGTCCACCCGGGATATACTCAGACCTCTGGGTTCAGGACAGTCTTCATTTTCTTATCACTGAACGATGCTTCTGGGTCATACAACACGGAGGAAGTGCTGTTCCCATGTGTAACCTTTACTCTCTCTCATTTTCCAGGGACCCCTGGGTCTGGATGGCAAGCCCGTAAGTGACAAGGCAACTCTAGGTGATCCTGGGACAAGGCTGCCCCTGCAGAGTTGGGAGTGACCATGGGGCATCTGAGGGAAGGGGCCACTGGAAACCTGGTTCAGCCAAAGAGAAGCCACTGGGTGTCCATCTTTTGACTGCAACCATGAGGAGCCCCTTCTAAAACTTTAGCCCCGAGTCTAAAGTTTCTTATCTCTCAAATGGGTGTATTCACTCCTCCCTCACAGGGATGTTGTGGGGTTATGAACAATGGTGGACAGTGCAGTCAGTCCCTGGTATCTAGGCAGCCCTCAGAGTCTGCAAGCCCCTCCCAGTGGGTTCCAAGTGTCTCTTGTTCATTCTTGAGACTTCCACAGTGGTATCAGGCTGAGAAGTTCTCAACACCTGAGCCAGGAGCTTATGGTCCTTGGGTGTCCTCAGCAGATGATTAAGACGCACAGGAAGATATAAACACAAATAAATAAGCAGGTATAGATAGATGGGCAAACAGATAGATGGACGGAGGTTGGGTAGGTGGGTGGAGGGAGGGATGGATGGAGGGAGGGAGGGATGGTGGATGGATGGATGGATGGATGGATGGATGGATGGACGGACGGACGGACAGATGAATGGAAGGATGAATGGATGACTCATCCAGCTGAGATGAGTAGATGGAGCCTCTGAGGGGCTGTCACTTCTGGAGACAAGATCTCTGTCTACTGCCTGCCTTGCAGATTCAATAGACACCTCAGGGCAGTAGCCTCCTTACCAGAATCTGGAACAGGGGTGTGCTGAGCAGTGAGGATCTGTGACTTCTAGGAGAAGTGACTAACACATGTGCCCCTTTCTCTGCTGCAAGGATGTCCATGGGCCCTTACTGGTGATCCCCAAACCCTCATCTCCCTCATGCTGAGGACTGAGATATGAGTTTCCATAAAGCCGATGAAGGCAGCTGTCATTGAGGGCTGACAGGCTTGTATGTGATTTTCCACCCAGCCACTCCCCTCTGCCCAGAATCACAGGCCCCTGTGCCCTCAAAGCCATGGGCAGCCAGAAGGGCAGCCAACCTAGCCCTCCTCACTCATGCCTGTTCTCTCTCCACCTTCCTTCCCCAGGGACTTCCAGGCCCCAAAGGGGAAAAGGTAAGTGTTGCTGGAGACTGTCCAGATGTTGGAGGCTGATGAAGGAAACCAGAAACCTGCCTCCAGAGCCCAGTTCCATAGAGTTTCCCCATCCATAAAATGGGACAAGTACATATGCCTACCTCCTAAAATGGTTACAAGACTTACCTTTGATAATATATATGCCAGGAGTGTTGAATCTGAATTCTGTCCAGAATGACATATTCCCAAATAAACGAACAATGAAGAAGTGCTAAGAGAACTTGGGGGAGTTGAACAAGGACCGTTACTGGTGTTCTCTGTTGGGAGGACACCCCCTCAGGGAAACAGGTGGCAGAAAGCTCTTTGCAGACTGCTGTGAGAAAAGCTTCCCTAGCATTTGGTAGTCAAAGTCACAGGCAGCATCCTGGAGGATGGGATTTATGTGTCCCTGATGGTGGTATTAGAGGAGAGAGGGACCAGAGCAGACTTAGGTATGGCAGGGTCAACTGAAGGCCTCCAGGGAAGGTCCAGAAATGGCTGGGCCACATCCATCCCTTCCCAGAATTCAGAGATGGAGAAGCAAGAGCTTGGTGGATGGTGGACCCCGGTGTAATAGGACCACTCAGGTAAGGGAAGACAGGGTTCCAGGTTACCATCAGGGCTGAGGAAGCCATGGAAAGGCATAGGATTTGGTGTTCAGAGCCTCCGTTTTGTATTCCAGTTCCATCACCAACTCTGTGGGTTTAGGCAAGTTGCCTGTTTCTGTGAGCCTCAGTTTCCCCATTTATAAATTTAAACCAGCCTCACAGACTCATGGTCTGCATGTTCTTTGTTGATGAGGAGACACTAGTATAGTTAGTAGGGATCATGATTGCCTTCTCACTCGTTCTAACTGATTCAACCAAGACAGAAATAATTGAAGCAGGGGCTTTGAGACCAGAGAGAAACTAGTGACTTGGTATCTGTCGCTACACGATGCACTGCCCCAAAGCTTGATGACTTTATATGACAATTAATCCTTACCATACCTCACTGTTCCAAGGCTCAGGGATTCTAAGAGGTCACAGTAGAAGCAGATGTGCCTGATCCACCACGTCTGAGGCCTCAAATATCTGGGAGCTGGTCATAGATAAGAGAGTACCTGGGTTTCAAACCCTGAATCTGCTAACAGATTACTTGGCCTCTCTGTGACTCAATTTCCTCACTGGAAAGGGAGATAAAAATGGGGCCTGCCTGTTGTTTTTGTTAGAATTAAGCAGACCATATATGTAAAGCACAGAGCACAGAGTACATGCTCAATGGGAAATGTGAACAAACAGTGACTGTTCTGGTGATCTATCTCCTTGTTTTTTGTTTCTAGGGTGCACCAGGAGACTTTGGCCCCCGGGTAAGAATGGAGCATCACCTCCCTCACCCCCCCATGTGGTTTGTTTCATGTTATTATAATAAAGCACATCTAGCATTTCCTGTGGGTCCCAGCTCCCTATAGCTTATCACAGACAGAGGCAAGTGACACCACCCTCCCACCATGGAAGCCCCCAAGACACCCTGGTTTGGCCAAGGTTGTGATATCCCATCCAGGTGGTGAATACCTGGTATATTTCCCATTCCCTCTCCTTGTCAGCATGGGTGACCAGATGATGGAGCTGGCCCTGGTTCCAGACCAGAGACTGACCTTCCTGAAGGCAGCTGGTACTCCAAAAAAGGGAAGGCTCTGAGGCCAGCAGATTTGGCCCCAAAGCTCAGCTCTGCCACCTAAGTGACCTTGTACAAGTCACCTTTCCCTCTGAGACTCAGTTGCTCCAACCATGGGTCTGGATAATAGCCCCTATCACAGTGGTTGCTGTGGAGATTTATTATGATCATAAAAGTATCCAGAGCCCATTAGTAGATCTGCATCTCCTCCCAAACTACCTCTGCCCCTCAGTGTCCCCTGGGCTTAGGAACTCAGAAGTGCCTTGTGCTGAACTTGGGTTTCCCTCCAACAGAAACTGAACCTGAGCTGGGGACCCTAAAGTGGGTCTCGGTAAAGGCTCACTTAAGTAGCAGCCGTAGACAGGTGCCCTGACCATTTCTAGCATGGCCCCAGCAGGGAGCCTTAACTAGAGAGGTTGAGAGATGGACATCAGCTGCCCAGAGAAAGGCTGGATCATGGTGTACTTCTGGTTGTTTCTAAGAATCTTATGGGGTGGACACTATAGCCCCAAGTTAGTCACCCACATCGATCATCTGCAGTGGAGGTAGGAATGGAATGGAGGAAGAATGAGCCACTTGGGCCTGGAGGAGGGAACTACTTACAGGATAATTAAAAGAAAATAGGGGCCAGGTGTGATAATGTACACCTGTAATCCCTGTGGGAGGCTGAGGCAGGAGGATCATGAGTTCAAAGCCAACCTCGGCAACTTAGCAAGGTTCTAAGCAACTCAGTGAGACCCTATGTCTGAATAAAATACAAAAAAAAGGGCCGGGGATTTTCCTCAGTGGCTAAGCACGCCTCAGTTCAATCTGCAGTACCAAAACAATAATAATAATAATAAAGAAAGAAAGTAGGGAGTAGGGGTTCAGGGCAGACAGCATAGGCCGGGCTTGGTGGCCTAAGCCCCTGCTCTGCAACTTCATGGCTCTGAGCCTGGTTTATTTTTTGAAATGAGGACAGTAGAGCCTACATCACAGGATGGTTATAATCATGAGCTGGGAGCAGGAAAGGGGCTGAGTTCCCAGGACAGAGCTCTCCTGTGCCGGGCCTCTGATGGGAAGGCAAGGCCAGGTCCAGGGCTGCATAAAGCTGGTAAGATATCCCTGAAGTCAAAGAAAAGGTACTCCTGTTTTTTGTAGCTGCTGAGAAAAATCCCTTTTTTTTTTTTTCTTTCTGGTGGATATAGAGAAGCTTATCTTCCAAATGAGGATGCCTACTCCACCACAGACTAGAAATCCTCTGACTCCCAAAGTTATGGAAGAGCAGATGTCCCCCCACTCTAGCCCTTTCCCACTTCATGGATATCCTCCCTGTTGTCCCAATATTCCAGTCATCTATGAAACAACTTTCCCAACCACCACCCCCCAAAAAAAGTTTAGTGACTTAAAACAATGGTCTGTCATTCTCTCTCATGATGTCCTGGGCTGGCTAGGGTCTCTCTCATGAAAGGCAGCTGTTTGGGAGACCAAGGTGATGGTCCCCTCACATATTCACCGCCAGCGCAGCTTAGCTGGGAAGCATCCACATGTGACTCTCCACAGATCTCCAGCTTCTCCCAACATGGCGGCTGGGTTTCTAGAAGGAATCTTAAGAGCTGCGTTTCAAGAGACAGGAAGTGGGGGCTGCCAGGACTGTGAAGAGCTCTACCCAGAATGGACATAGCATCACTTCCACTGCATTCTATTGGTCACGTCAGTCACTGGGCCCACCCAGAGTCAAGTAGGAAGAGAAAGAGCCCTGGCTCTTGATAGGCAGTGGGAAGGCCTTGTTGTAGAAGAGCCTGTGGGCCAGAAGCCAGCATAGCAGCCATCTTTGGAGCAGGCAGTCTGCATACCGAACAACCAAGCTGCCTTTCTCTGAGCTGGGTTAGGTGACTGTGCCTACAGAAATAGCCTTGTGATTTTTTTTAAATCCCCCTCCTGCTTTTCTGACCACCCAACCCTTTGCTGACTAGATGGTTTTCCCACGGCTCAATCCAGGCTTTATAAGTAGAGACCATCCTGCGTACAGTCTCCGCATCCTCAAGGTAGTCTGACCGAGTGAGGGGTCTGAGCCTGTTGGTTTGCCGTGCACCCCCACCCTCTCCTCACCCCACGTTTCCAGGGTTAGACCTCAGTCATCCAATCCCTGAGGGAGGAGGGAGCCATGGCCCTGAGAGATGCTGAGAACCTCCCCTAGGATGAGCTCAAGTTTTATGCTTGAATAAGTAGAATCCAGGGCTGGGGTTGTGGCTCAGTGGTAGAGCGCTCACCTAGCATGTGTGGGGCCCTGGATTAGATCCTCAACACCACATAAAAATAAAAATAAAGATACTGTGTCCACCTAAAACTAAAAGCTAAATATTAAAAAATAAATAAATAAAAAGTAGGATCCAGGCCGATGGTTCCCAAAATGGGGCCTCAGAGCTGCAGGAGGGAGAATCAAGTTCTTCCTGATTTAGAGCTAAATGAAACAGGAATTTACCTGCTACCTTCACCACCTGAAGCTGGGTGACCAAACAACTATACTGCCAGTTTTCTTCTCTTTAATCTGAAATTATAACCCTTTGATCAGGACCCGGGCTAGAGAGGTGAGTTTTTTCATATCATGGTGGGGTAGGGATACATCTGAAAAAAAAAAAGGTCTAAAAGAGACCAGTTGCCTTGGCAGTCAGAGGACACTCAGCATTTCCTAGCTCTGTAATCCTGAGTAAATGATCACCCTCTCTGACCCCCGCCCACTTCTTCTGTAAAATGAGACAACAGTAGTGCCTAGCTGGCTCAGCACACAGATTGAATAAATAACCTCCAGGAGACCCTGGCTTGCTCAGTGCTGAGTCCACAAAAGGCTTCTTCCTTCTTCAGCTTACAAGAAGGTTGGGAGCTGCTGACACGATGGATGTGCCCTTTACTATATATCCTATGCCAGTGTTGGGCAGGCCCTGCTAGGGCAGCAAAAAGGTGCCAGTCATGCTGTGGGCTTCCCTCCTTGTGGGCTGGGGCCATGAGGTGAGGGCTCTGGCTGCCTGAGGTCTGATCCAGTACTAACATTGGGTCCAAGAACTGCGAATTTAGTGTTGGAGAAGACTGTGTGTACCTTTTTATGTTTTTTAAGCTTTTTATTTTGAGATTGCTACAGATTCACATGCAGTTGTTATAAATAACACCCAATGTACCTTTATGTTCAGGGGGGGTGGGGGGAGTGGTACTGACCCAATGCACCTTCCATCCAGTTTTCCCCAATGGTGACCTCTTGCATCACTGTAAAGCAATCTCACCAGGAGGAAAATTGTGTTGCTACAACCCAACAACCTGATTCTTATTTCCTCAATTTGACATACACTCATTTGTGTTCAGGTGTGTATTTTGTTCTGTGCAATGTTATCACACTCGTAGATACACACAGATTCCCTCATGCTACCCTTTCATGTTCATGGTCATCTCCCTCCCCGCCCGTTCTTAACCACAAGCAACCACTAACTCCCATCTGTATGATTTCGTTATTCAAGGGCACTGCATAGCTGCAACCATACAGCGTGTGACTCTCTTGAGTTTGGCTTTTTTTTACACAGCATTATTCCCTTCACATGCATCCTCTCTCTGGAGGCTGGTACCCCTTCCCCTCTCCCTCAGGGTCACACCAAACCCCATCTCTTTCAGGGGGATCAAGGGCAAGATGGAGCTACTGGGCCTCCAGGGCCCCCTGGACCACCTGGGGCCCGTGGCCCTCCTGGCGACACTGGGAAAGATGGCCCCAAGGGACTTCAAGGCCCAGTGGTAAGAGAAGGCCTGGAGTTGGAGCACCCAAACCGTGGGTCTATATTGACCAAAACCCCAAGCCCTGATTCAGGAACCAACTCCAGCCCTATCCCTAGTACAAACCCAACACCAACCTTCACCCAATCCAAATGCTAAACCTCAACTCCATCGATTTCCAATTCAAATCTTGTCCTTGACTCTGGACTCTAACCCTAACCCTAACCCTTACCTCAACCAAGCCTTAAATCTAACTCTAATCTGTCCTAACCCTAATCAAGACCCTCACCCCAAACTCATTCTCAAATCCCAGTCCACACCCCCAATTCAGACTATTATCCAGACCTAACCCTGACTCCTATAGAATCTGACCCTAACTCCAAGCCCAACTCTTACTCCAAATAGATCCTTTTCCCTTAACCCTGACTTTAGTTGCAATCTCAGTCTCAATCCTGACCCCCTGACTCTGACCCTGCAACACATAGGTGGGCATTTCTCGGCAAATCTTCACCAACCCCTGCTCCTCTCCCTGCCCCACTTTCTCCTCAGCGCTAACTAGTTAGCCTCAGTTTTCCTCCTATAGTCCTAACCCAAACCCTGGAGGCCAGATCTCCTTCTACCACCCATTTCCAGGGACTCCAACCTGTCCTTCCCCTCCAGTGCAGAGCCCACACCTCCACCAAACTGCCAACAGGGTCCCCTACTGACACCAGAGTAGCTACTCAATTGGCTTACCTATTCCTTATCATGTTGGGCATATAAGCCTTAACCTTCTCAAACCTTCTCATCTGTGCAATGGGGACATGATGCCCACTGTTTCAGTGTTGGATGAGGATGAAATGTGATCATGTATTTACAGCCCAGCCCAGGGCCTATGGTGAGTTGAATGGATTCAACTAAATGTGACATTCTTGGATCCTCATTGCTATTCTCTCATGTCCCCTCAGGGTCCCAAAGGAGAGCCTGGACAAGATGGAGAGATGGTCAGTATCCAGGGCATTTCATGAGGCCAGGGCTGGCAGGGCTGTAGTTGCCAGACCTGGAAGCCCCTTTGCCACACACACCCATACCGGGACCATGTAGCGTGCCTGTGTACATGCTTGCAATGCTTACGTGCCTGAGGCCTGAAGCTATAAGCGTGCAAATGCCTGCACTCCTGCCCTCTGCCTGCATCAGGTAAATAGATGTGCAAGGCACCCATCTGGGACCAAATTCCCATAGCCCCACCTTCCAGAATGGGAGTCTGGAGTCCTGGGTGGGAGTCTAGAGCCCTAATGCAGCAGCTGTCCAAAGAATGAGCAGTCGGTCCTAGTACTGGATGCACCACCACCATTCCAGTGACAGGCCTGCCTCTTCCTGTCATGATGTCACCCTTTATAAAAGGAGGGTGATAAAGAACACAGGCCTAGAATCAGCCTCCAGTGTAATGTTTAACACCTTCTCTTCTCCTATTCCAGGGCCCTGAGGGACCCCCAGGGTCCAAGGTGAGTACTCCTCACTCCTCCTCCTGTTCCCCAGACCTGGGGGACAGATACCCTCACTACCACCTTTCCCCCCACCCCCACTCCACCCAGTGAAGCTGAGGCAGAAGGGTTAGGAGTTCCAGGTCCATGATGGGTTAGTAGCCCAGATCCCAGGCTACTGCATCTGCAGAGGGCTTCTGTTTACCCCTCTATTAAATGGGAGCATAATAAACCTTTCCTGCCTCAACTTCACACTGGGCTGTGAGAGTTGAATCATAAAACACATTAGCTGCTTTGTTTTTAATAGACTTTATTTTTGAAGCAGTTTCCTGTTCACAGCAAAATTGAGTGAAAGGTACTGAGAGTTCCATACACCCTCTGCACACACCCCTACATGTGCACAGCCTCCCCCATTAACAACATCCTGGACCACAGTCAGTATGTCTGCCACAGTTGATGACCTACCTTGACACATCACCACCCAAAGCCCAGAGTTGACATGGCGGTTCATTCTCGGTGGTGTCATATTCTATGGGTTTGGGCAGATGTATGATGACATGTACCCTTCATTCTAGAACCTAAGGGTCATTTCACTGCCTTAAAAATCCACCCGTTCTTCCCTTCCTCCTTCCTAATCCCTGACAACCACTGATGTTTTGACTGTCTCCTTAGCTTTGCCTTCTCCAGATGTCACACAGTTGGAGTCAGACAGTATGTAGCCTTTTGGGATTGGCTATTTTCTCTTAGAAGTATGCATTTAAGGTTCCACAATTTCTTTTCATGGGTTGATGGCTCATTGCCTTTTAGGGCCAAGTGTTACTCCAGTGTTGAAAGGTACCAGTTTATTTTCCCAATCACCCACTGAAAGACATCTCAATTGCCTCCAAATTTTGGCAATTATGAATACAGCTGTTACCAACCTCCAGGGACAGGTTTTTGTGTGGTCACAAGTTTTCATCCATGTTAGTTTTTTTAAAGCCCGCTCAATGTCAGCTCTTTTTTCTTCCTACCCCCATGCTGTATCTCCTGAAGGAGACACTGGATGAGGAGAAGGGAAGGATGAGAAGAGAGATCCACTTATTGAGCACCTGCTGTGAGCATGGGCTTCCTGGGGAGCTCTCTCTCACCCTGCCAACAGCCCTCCGAGGCTGGGGGAGTTACCTCCCTACTTTGAAGAGCAGTGACTTGCCCAGGGTCATTGGGGGTGACTGACTCAGAATCTAAGAGCTTCATTGCCCACGTGCATTTCTCTAGAGGGGTCATTCAGGGGTCTCTGGGCTGGCACTGGCTGTGGGTCATTGGTGCCACTTCTAAAAGAGAAATGGGTCTGGTGTGTAGACCATGCTCCTGTGACTCTGACCTCTCTCTTGCTCTCCTATTGTCTCCCTTTCAGGGTGAGCCTGGCATTCCTGGAAAGAAGGTAAGGGGCCCCTGTGGAAATGCTTCTTGGCCAGTGGCAGGAAGTAGCTGGAGAGAAGAGCAGGGGCAGGGGACCAGGATGAGGATGGTGCTTCCCTATGGGGAGGGTCCCCTTCTCTCCATGGAGTGCTCACTGTGGATGGCTGCCCTGTCCTGTATCTCGGTGGAGCCAGGATTTCATTCATTTATTCACAGACTCACTCACTCTTTTCTTCCTCAAACACACCGAGGTCATGCCCACTTCTGGGCTGGATCAGTGGTTCTCAAAGTATGGTCCTGGGACCAGCATTGTTAGCATCACCTGGGGGTTTGTTGGAAAAGCAAATTCCAGGCTGAGGGTGTAGCTCAGGGGTAGAGCACATGCATGAAACCATGGGTTTAATCCTCTGTACCACAAAAGAAAGAAATATAGATTCTGGGGTTCACTCTGGGCCCACTGAATTAGAGACTCTGGGGGTGAGGTCCTGGGGTCTGATTCAGCAGCCCTCTGGGTGATGTGCACTTCCAACTTGGGAACCAACCACTAAACTGGAGTCCTCTTCCCATGACTAGGCCTCCTCCTCCCGATCCAGTTCTCAGCAACACTGTCCCCTCCTCACGAGTCCTTCCCTGGGCCACCTGCTAAAACAGGCTCTCCCCCAAATTCCTTTCCATCATGCCATCCTCTTATATTCTTTTCCCAAAACTTATGCTAATTCCTGATATGACACCTTCCACTTATTTAAATATTTCTTTCCCCTTGTCCTCCTGTCACTCCTTCTGAGCAGAGACTTCGTCTGTCTGACCCACAAAATATTTGATGAATGAATTAATGAATTTACTCTTATTTATCTGTGTACCCCTTGTTTCTGCAAACACCTGCTGGGGGTGGCTCTGGGCTGGTGGGGGCAGGGAATAGAGATGAATCTAATGCCACCCCTGCCCTAGAGGGTTAAGGAGGGGAGGAGGAACCTGCAGTTCCTGGTGCTGGTGCCAGGAATGGACTGGGATGCTGGGAGTCTAGAGGAGGGAGGAGTGACAGGCCATCAGAGGATCTGGCCAGGTGGGATGTCTGCAGCCTCAACTCTTTTCTCCTCAGGGGGATGATGGGATACCCAGCCAGCCAGGGCTCCCTGGGCCCCCAGGGCCCAAGGTAGGTATATGCCAATTCCCCAGGGGTCCCTCTGCCTTCCTCCTCCCACAGTGGCCATCTGTCTGGTGAGGCCCCCGCCCAGTCCCTTCACATCATAGGGGTGTGGCCAGGGCAGGCCAGAGGGAAGCAGCAGGAAAGTTCTAGACCTCACTTGCCTGCAGACCTGGCAGCTTACCCAGCCGCTTGCTTTCCTTCACATCCTCAAGTCCTCTTTGTTCTCGTCTTAGATGAACCCACTCTCTACCCTGTTCCCAAGCCAGGAACATGGTATCATCTGCACACCTTGAGCCCCCAAACCCTTGTAATAGCCAAGTCCTGGCCAGCCTGCCTCTAAAATGTCTCTTGTACTCCTGAGCTGCCTCAAGTGTGTGCCAAAACCCAGACCAGAAGCTGGTATCTATGGCTGGGAAGAGCCTTGAGGTCCACCTCGCTGCCCCTGGTGAGGCATGTACTCCAGGAGGCCTGCTAGCAAGGCCCAGCAGCCCCGGGGCAACCTCACGCCTATTCCCAGCACTTGCTATCACTGTGAATATTTGTATTTCAGGGTGAGCCAGGGAATGTGGGGCCCCAAGGAGAGAACGGCATGGACGGTGCCCCAGGACCTAAGGTGACATTAGAGTGGTCTGCTCCAGCACCTGAAGGCCCCATTCAAACCATCACCGGGTTACAAGGGACAGATGGAGTTTCACCTCTTTTTTGCCTTTTAAATGGGGAGTCCTGGGCAGGCCTGGGCCAGGAGTCTCCTTGGACTCATAATCAGAGGGTGGCATTGGGGTGTGGGAGGGCAGTAGATCTGGGTAAGTGATAAGGCCTCCATTTGGGCCCTGTCCTGGGCCAACCCATCATGTACCCTTAGGCTCCTGCACCTCAGTGTCCCCATCTGTTCACAGTATGTGGTCAGAATAGGGTCTCATATGTCCTCTCTCTGGAAATCCTACTCCTGGAAGGCCTTTCTTATATGCAGGCCATTGGGACTCCAGCATGGGCCCTTTTGAGAGGAGGAGACTGAATTGGGAGGGGGTGGGAGGGAGTCCCACACTTTAGGCTGCAACTGTGTATCTCCACAGGGGGAGCCTGGCCACCGAGGCACAGACGGAGCTGCCGGGCCCCGGGTAAGCCACCTCCCCTCGGGCCATACCAGTGGGATGCAGGGGGGCCAGTAGCTTCAGAAGACCCCAGAGGAGCAGAGCAGCTACAGGACCTAGGCACTTCTTTTAAATTTTTTTTTTACCTTTTTTACTGACTGTTTAAAATATCCTGATCCATGCTTGTGGTTGAAAGTTGAAATTCAGATATGTAAAAGTTAGAGTCCCAACCTCTTATCAAATAAGAGTTCTTCCCCTGCATGGGTGACTGTATAGTCTTCTAGACTCTTCATATTCAAACATAGGTCCTCAATTTGTCATACAGCATGGCCCTGCCCACTGTGGGGTGGAACCTGCTTTTCCCAGCCCCACATAGACATTCATGCCTCTCATGAGGGGCACAGCTCCCCCTCCAGCTGGCCCCAGATCTTTGTAACCAGTCCTTATAGATGTACTTTTATACACTAACATCCAGAATTCTATCCTTGACTCTGTCACCTGATGCAACCACAGCCCCTCTTGCTCCTGGTAGCTGACTTCTTCCTCCAAAGAATAGGTCAGAACCCCCAGCCTGGCTGTGCAGGTGGCTGGTAGATCGGGCACTGAGTGTGGGGTTCGTGTATACACTGGACAGTTCCATACAGGTCGTGGCCCTGGGGAAGCTAGTTGACAAGACCAGCCAGGCCTGACTCTCTCCACCGCATGCCAGGGGCTGACTCTGAGCCTGAACCAAAGTGCTTTTGACCCTTCGCTTCTGGCCTAGATCAGCCCCCGTGGAGAAGTGGGGCTCAGAGGGGGTGAGCTAGGCCTGCAGCAGTGCACATGCCAGCGCCTGTGGGTGTGGACAAGTGCAGATGCGTGCAGTGTGCGCACAACCAGGAATGAATGTGGATTTGATGCACATTTGTGCAGCCTCGGGCGGAGGTTGGGAAGTGGAGGCCCGAAGGCGGATCCAGCCACAAGGGTCCATCATTGGTGTACACAGTGTTTCAGAAGGCTGGGGGAGTGGGGGATGAGGGTTTGGTTTTGGTTTTGTTTACTGGCAATGTTTAAAAGTCTGAAGAGCTTCTCATCAAAATTAGGCTTTCCATTTTTCTGAGAACTAGGGGTCAGGCCTCAGTGGGCTTGAACGCCCACATGAAGGCAAATCACAGCCATCCCTCAGGCCAGGGGGAGGTGATTCCTCAGTGGGACCCCAGACCCCCTGCCTGCCCCTTCCCTCACACGCTGAGGTCCTGTCAGCTCACATCTGAGGCCTGCGCACACTGGGGAGCCGACCCCCAGTGCCACAGGCCTGCATGTGGGCCTGGGTATCCAGGCTGTTCTGTCATCCTCATCTCTGGGTGTGACGCAGAGACAGCTACCATGTCATCCATCAATATAGCTCTTCCCTGAAACTCATTCTCCTGCCTCAGGGACCCCCAGGCCTCAAGGGCGAGCAAGGAGACACTGTGGTGATCGACTATGACGGCAGGATCCTGGATGCCCTTAAGGTAGTGATCCTAGGGGGACCAGGGTGCCCCCTTGGTGCTCATTTCCTGAGGGAATGATTGCTCAATTTGTGTATTAATCCTGTACTTCTTTACAAAGGGACCAGGGGCAGCTCACCACAAAGGCCTCAATTCTATGAGGTCCAGATACGTCAATCAGTGCTGTTCTGAGACCCCGTGGTACCCAGAGAGCTGCTGTGCATGTGGTTATGTGCCCCACAAACTCCCCAAAGGTTAAAGCTAAAAGGGAAGCTCCCCACTCAAGGGCAGAATGCAGAGCATTTCCTGGTCACTAAACCTAGCTGACTAAAGGGCAGGATCTTCTAATAATTGTTGTGAGGGAAGATAAGTGGGGAAGGGTCTGTCCCAGGAACCTGAAGAAAATGCATGACCTCTGACTGGCAAACTTGGGACCCACGAGCAGAGGAGAGAGAGGTAGGATGCCAACTGCTCATGGGTACCAGGGAAAGGAGCTGGGGTAGTGACAGGGTGGTCATCAGAGACCAGACCGGGCACTGGTACCTGACCCCACCCAAGCTTCAATTCCAGTTATCTCCCACAGGCCTCGGGGAAGTACAAGTTGATGGTAACTATGGCCCACTCTGGGCCTGCATGGTGTTGCGTGGTGCAACTTGGCCCTGAGGGCGTGCACATGCATGGTGTGTCCTGAGCTAGCTAGGAGCCACATGGGAGAAGCCCTACTGTGCAGGGAGTCAGAAGGTGGATTTTGGATGCCAGATTAGGATGATAAATTGATTTGATGGACAATAGGCAACCATAGTCAGTTCTTGAGCAGGAGAATGACCTCCCAAAAAAACCACACTGGCTAGGGAATGAAGGTGCATGAATGTCGGGGAGAACTGTAGGCAAGGAGCCCCTCAGAGAGGCAGGTGTGGAGGAAAGGTAGTAAGTGGAGAGGCCAACAGGAAGGGGACTGGTTGGGAGGACTGAGTATAGAGTTGGTAGGACAAGACTTTGTCAAACCAGGGGAGCTGGGAAGGGTGTGCCCTTTAGGAAGGGGCATAAGTCTGAAGACTGAGTAAGGGGTGGTAATGAGCCATGGTGGTCAGTGACCTGCAGGAAGCCTGGACTGGGACAGGGCCTCAGAAATAGGATCAGACTGGAAACACTTGAGACCCTGTCCCCTACCCATTTGACCGAGGAACTCCTTGGGGCCAGCAGACAGCAGGCGATAGTCAGTTGGTCAGAGAGATCACAGGGCAAGCTGAGATAGTGGGGCCAGGTCACTGTTCAGAGTGTTGATTTCTGAGTGGCTTGAAAGCCAACAGGGGATTTCAACTTCCTTTGAGGGACAGCAGGGAGCCATTACAGAATCTTGAGCAGGAGTGTTTGTGAAGGTGTCTGTATTGGGAAGAGAAGCTGACACTTGTGGTATCTCATCCAATGCTGGATGTCACCTCCCTTGCCTCTCCCAAGACTATGGGGCCAAACCAAGTTATATGTCCTATGGATGACCTGACTGGGTAGGAAGCAGGTTGCAAGGACCCTCCTTTCAGCCCTGCTGGACAGTGATTTGACCCCAGGTGGAAGGGACACACTGGGCAGTGCAGCTGGGTGGGACTATCTAACTACTGACCAGCTTGACTTTTATACACAGGGTCCTCCTGGGCCACAGGGAGCCCCAGGGCCACCAGGGATCCCTGGAGCCAAGGTCAGTGTAAATACAGCTGCATGGTCCCCAAGCTCTCCAGGGTGCACCTCCCCTCTCCTCTCTGCCATATTCCCTCCTAGTATCTTGGCCTGGTTTCTGGGGTCTCAGAGAAAGGGACCTTGATCTTTCCCTACTAATCTGAGTGCCTTTTCTCCTGGCCCTTGCTACCTGCTTTTGCTGGAAGAATCATTCACATATTGAAACTGAAAAATCAGCCCTTCCAGACATCACAACAGTCCTGTAGACATGCACAGCATTCCCGGGGTTGTACCTATTTATACCCTGCCTACTTGTCTTGGAAAAAAGAGTCTAATATATTAAAGTCAGGCAGGGTCTGTTCCTGGCATGGTTGTTTCTGGGATTCAGGTCTGTAACTTCCAAATCTATAACATACCAGCTTGTAGCTCACAGCCCTAGGCTACAGCACCTGCCCTGGAGGAGCTGAGCACATGGAGGTAGAGGGTGCCTAGCACCCAGCAAGTGCCCTTCTAGAAGTTCAACAGCAGGGATCCCACCCAGGGATGATGAACTGATCAGGGAGGCAGCCAGCCCTCCCTCAGGCTACCAACCCTCCTCTAAAGCTGAAAGAGGACTAAACTCCTTTTATTGCCTGTTCCCTTTCAGGGTGAGCTTGGATTGCCTGGTGCCCCAGGAATCGATGGAGAGAAGGTCTCTGGGATTTTAATGTCTTTGTTGATGTTGGTGTTGGGCATTGTAATGTGTGTGTGTGTGTGTGTGGTTGTGGGTATAGTCCATATAGACATAAGCATATCCCTGGGTGTCCTTTGTTATATGTCTTTACTGCTGTGTCCCCAGCATATGGCACATCATGACATAATTGGTCTAGTGGAGATCTGCCATTGACTCAGAGCCCTTGAGATGGGAGGATAAAGTTGACTCCACGAGTGCTCCAAGGTGGCTGCCCCAGTTCCAAATGTTCCCCCTCCACCCAAACCCCCACCCCCTGCCACCCACACCCCAGGCTTACAGGGAGACAGAGGAGGGAAGTCCCCTTGCTGTCCTCATTCCAATTTCCCCAGTGCATTCAGCCAAGGCTCCCAGCTACCTGGGTGCTAGGTATTGGAGTGGGTGAGTGGGTGTGAAAGAGAGTGTGTATGTGTGATGCTATATAGACCCACAAGGAAGTCAGGACCCACAAGCAGGAAGGTCTGGCCAAGTCTGGCCTCACCCACACCAAGATCAGGGACCCACCAGAATGGGAAAAGGAAGCATGCCCACCAATTTCTTGTTCTTGTGACTTTCAGGGACCCAAAGGACCAAAAGGAGACCCAGGAGAGCCTGGGCCAGTTGGACCCAAAGGGGAAGCAGGCGAGATGGGCTTGTCTGGCCTTCCGGTATATGGCTGGGCTGGGCCCCACCAACTTACCTGATGTTGGGGAGGGGTGGTCCCAACTTGCATGAGTGCCCTCCACAGGGTGGCTGCTAGGGGTTGCAGGGACAGTGGTAAAGGCATGCTGGGAAGGACAGGGCATACCCCTGCAGAGGGACACTTAGGGACACTGCCCTGAGTCTCTACCTCCTCCTCTGTAAAAGCAGCTCCACAAGGAGGCCTCCCTAAAGGTGAAATGGGGAGGCCCCGCCTGGTGGAAGCCAGGTGGCCGAGTGTTTGGACTCTGCTCTGGCCCAAGTTATCCAAGTTTGCCTCTGGTTTTGTTTCTACCCTGGACAGTGACCTAATCTCCTCTTGCTTCTGATTCATTGATGCTAAAGTGGGGATGTTAATTTCCCACTCCTGAAAGAGAAAGCAGACCAGGCTAAGAATAGCAGCCAGCACCCAGTTACCCCCCACAGACACGCACACACCACCCATCATCATTTTTACTGTTATCCTTTTTGTGGCCGAATTGGAAGAGTTGCCAGGTGTTAAGCAGTCACTGGGAGCCCTGTCACCTCATAGCCATTGACCACCTGAGTTAGCGCTAGCACTAGGATTTGAACCTGGGTCTTTGCTCCAGAGCCCCGGCCATCCTGGCACCTCCAGACAGTTTGTTTGTGTCTATGTACCATCGTGCTCCCGTTCCAGGGTGTGTCACACTGATTTGGGGAAAACTGTTTTAAACTGCAAAAGCCAAATTATTGCTGCCCTGTGGGGGAAGGAAGGGGAAGTAGCTGAGCACTGCGGGGATGATTTTAGGATTGACAGGAAGGACTCACTAGCCACCCATCCTGCAGGGTGCTGACGGCCCCAAGGGAGAGAAGGGAGAGTCAGCATCTGACAACCTACAGGAGAGCCTGGTAAGGGGGTTGCTGAGGCTCAGGACTCCACCTAACACCCATTCTAGGTCCAGTGGAGACCCTGAGCCTTGGGACAGAAAGACCACAGGGCCTGACCCAACCCAGGGCAGTGGGGGCAGAGCAGCAAGGGAGGCTCAGGCTGCATCCCCACCCATGGCCCAACTGAGAACCCAAAGGCCAGCCACTGGGTCCCTCACCAGAATGTGCCCTCCTGGGGACAAGATAGAGCCCCCCACCACCACCTTGTTCTTCACCATTAGGTGATGAGCTCCTGAGTGGGCAGGTGAGGGACAGCGGGCAGTGGGTGACTAACCCTTATTTGACCCTTCCTAGGCCCAGGTCATAGTGGAGCCAGGCCCCCCCGGGCCGCCTGGACCCCCAGGTCCCATGGTAAGCACAATTTCACTTAAAGCAGCTGGGATACCAAGACAGTGGTGAGCCCTGAGCCCAGGCCCCAGGGCAGTAACCCAGGGGAGGACAAGATTCTTCATGGTTGGAGCAGAGGGCATCAGACAAAGAGGGCAGAACCGGGGTCAGGGCCACAGGAGCCAGTGAGCAGCCTGGAGCTGTCGTGATTGATGTCTTGGCCCAAAGTCTGCACCCAGCCCAGTGGCCTTTCTAATCAGTTTTCCTTCTCCTCCAGGGCCTTCAGGGAATCCAGGGTCCCAAGGTAAGTGGATGAAGATTCCCTTCTCACTCAGACGCCAGAGGGCCATTGTAGAAAGCCTTGCTAATGAATACAAGTGAGGCCCTCTCCTCAGTCTGGACCCAGCCCTGAGTCTTTCCAGGGCCTGAACACTCCCAGTACCCTGGACTGTAACCTGCCTAATGTCCCCCACCTCCATGCTTGGGTTTCTGTTCTTTCCCTCTCCGTCTGCCCAGGGGCCCCAGACTATCTCCTTCTCTGGTCCATCTCCCTCTACATCTTCCCTCTTGCCCACTTCTCCCCGTCTCTCTGCACCTCCCACTTCCTTGCACCACCCCATCCCCTCCCTCCAGGCACATCTGTCTCTCAACTGCCCTGAACATGAAGTCTGTTTGGTGTGTACTTCACAATGTCATGTTCTCTGCTCTTAAATTAAAACCTCGAGTGTGGTCTGCCATGTGCCTGGCCTGAGAAGGCAGACACAGAAGTGAGGGCCAGCTGGCCTCACTCCTTCTCACACCTGAGTCTCATTTAGTCAGGGGGAGAATACATCTCTGCCTCCCCAGCTCAGAGAACAGCCTGGGGACTCCGAGTCATGGAATCCCTGACACAGTGGGGCCAAGCATGGGAGCCAACCAGATGCACTGCTTCTGGTTCTGTTTTGTCCCAAGCCTCCCCAGAGCCTGATTAGAAGAGGCAGCTGCTGTCAGGGACCAGGTCCAAGGCTGGGGCTCAGGAACCTGATTAGTACCCAGCCTTGCCACTTCCTGGCCATGTGGCTGGACTCATCCCTGGCACCTCCTTTCTCATTTGTGGGATAGGCGTCACCATAACGCCCTCCCATGATTCCTGAGGGAGCCCCTGTATGGGAAAAGGGACACGTATACAACCATGGTTCACTGATCATTCTTACCCGGGGAAGCTGGGACCAGGCCTGTCAGAACCAGGAGTCTGTCCCTCTTCCAGGCACAGCCCAGCTCCCACAAGGACCCCAAGCCTTCCTGTCTTGCCACCTGTCCAACTCCTTCTCTCTTACTTATTTTTCCCCTTTGCTTCCAGGGCTTGGATGGAGCAAAGGGAGAGAAGGGCACATCAGGAGAGAGAGGCCCTCATGGCCTGCCTGTGAGTGTCATCAGCCTTGTTTGTCCCTAGAGGTATTACATCCTATAACCATCAGTCTCTTGACCTACTTATTTTCCATCCAGGGGCCAGTTGGCCCACCAGGCCTTATTGGGCTGCCGGGAACCAAAGGAGAGAAGGTAATCGCCTCACTATGGCCCCATGCCCCTAGTGTCGCTCAGCCTCTGAGGTCCAACCACTGCACCCCACGGGGTCAGAGACCTGTGGCTCTTACAAGCCATTCCCCCTACCTTTTTTCTATGCCTGTCTGGTCAGTGAGTCTTCCTGCCCCCAAGTTTGTGGCCAACCCACAGTTCCCAGCACCCAACTCCCAGCACCCCCTCCCTACCCCTCTCACTGGCCTGTGTCTTTCCTCAGGGCAGACCCGGGGAGCCAGGACTAGATGTAAGTGTCTCATCCTTCGCTGTGAGTAATTGGGTCCCTCCTATGTGTATCTTCTGCCCTCATGTTGCCCATACAGTAACCTGACGTCACTGTGACATGTTCCCCATGTCCTCAGTTCAGTGCACAACCTCAAACAGGGGCTTTGTGGATGGATGATGGATGGATGATGGAGGATGGATGTATGGATAGACAGATGGATGAATAGATAAGAGAATGGATGGAGATATGGACAGATGATGGGTTAAAAATGATAGATGCTGCATGGATGGATGGATGGACGATGTGTGACAGCAAGGAGGTGGGGGAAGCAGTAAGGATGCTGTTGAAGCCCCTGCTGAGAGATGCTGAGGCTTCAGCTAGGGTGGAATTGTAGGAAAGAGAGAAAAGGAAGCATTCTCCCAGGGCTGATTGTATCAAGTCTCCTCTAGGAGCATAGCCTAAACAAAGCAGAGTTTAACTGGTTTAGAATGACTCATAACTGAAAAGTCCAGAGGGTCAACCCAAGGATCCAGGGCACAACCCAGCCTCTCACCCTCTCTTGTCTCTGCTTTTCCAAGTGGAAAAATTGGAGGTGAGGTGGAGCCAGCATTCCAGACCTGTAGCTACCTGGACCCAAGTCCAGAAGAAAGAATATGTGTCTTCTGCTACTGCTGTAAAGAAAGTCTCTTTGGCTGTCTTTGGTCCCAGCCAGGTCAACACTGAACCATCCCTTGGCCATAGGAATGCAGTGCCCTCATTGGCCAGGCATGATCACATGCCCAGCCTGCAGCTGTGGGTGGAGGCAGTGGATCCCAAGAAGGGAGGGGGGTTCCCTCAGGCAGCTGTCATGAGGGAAATGTGACCAGAGGCAGGGCTCTCAGAGCTCTTGTGTGTAACCGGGACTTTAAGAAGAGAATGTTGCTTTGGAGAGCAAGTGTGGACCAGGAAGAGGGAGGCGAGTCGGGGTTCCTGACTGGGGGCAGGTATGACTCATCAGGGAGATTTCACTGGAGATGAAGCCAAATCTCATTCAGGCTCTGGGCCCAGGGAAGTCACTGAGGGTGAACTAAAGAGGCTCCATGTCATCATGAGTGTGGCCACATTTGGTTTCTAGGAAGCCCTAAAGCCATATCTACCTGCTCTACCTGACAAGCCCAGGTCCCTCCTCCCCCAGACCCAGCTGAAATGGCAACCCTGATCAGAAACTTCCTTTGAACCACCACCTGTCAATAGAACTGCCCCCCCAATCCACCACCCTGTTTCATGCTTCTGTCACTGAACATCTACTGTCATCAGCACCCCACCACCTGTCCCATTAGACATGAGGGAGGAAACCTGTGGAATCCACTTCTTTACCTGCAGCCTGGTAGACACATTGGTTGAATAGATGGACAGAGGAGCATATAAAAAATGGAGCCAAGGTCAAAGAACAGAGTTCACCCTTTCTCAATCCGTCAAGGATGGTGACATAAACTTCTATGGATGTCCTCAGTCTCTGTCCCCAGCCAACCTGGGCCAGCTATCTCTGACTGCAATGCGAGAGAAAAACCCTTCACTGGCAACTCTGCCTGAGTGAGGACTCCCATCTTGAGACTCCAATAGTAGCCTGCTTTGGAAGAAGCAGAGCTAGTGTCCCTGACGCTTGCTTTTCCCTATATCTACCTGGCACCAGTATGTGCATCACCTCTCAGTGAGGACCAGGCAGCTGTGCCACAAATGTGCCTGGAGGGAGGAGTTAACGATGGATGGGGGAGGAGGAGAGATGCACAGATAACAGAGACCTGGCCTTGAACCCTCATTTTAGGGTTTAACCTTTAATCCTTCTGTCAGGGTTTCCCTGGACCCCGGGGAGAAAAAGGCGACAAGAGTGAACGTGGAGAGAAGGTGAGGGGAAAGGGAGAGGGAAAGGGAGGCAGGTGGAGAGAGAGGGAGGAGGCAGAAGTGGGAGGCAAGACATCAGCAGAGAGAGACTGGGGGCCATGGGAGGGCAGCGACAGGGGAGGCTGGGACTGAAGCTCAGTGGCTGCTGGCCTTTGGTCATCTCTGTCCGAGAAGCGTTGCAGGGGTCCTGGGTCTGGAGACTGAGAATTCCACCATCTCCCTTCGTGTGCAGGGGGAGCGAGGTGTTCCAGGCCGAAAAGGAGTGAAGGGCCAGAAGGGAGAGCCGGGACCACCAGGACTAGACCAGCCATGTCCTGTGGTATGTGTCACAACAGGATGGGAGCCCCAACCCAGGTCTTTTTGGCCTCCAGCTAGGGTCAGGCCAATTTCTTCCCTTTTCTCAAAGCTCAGGAAAAAGTCCCAGAGGCTACATCAGCCCCACACCAGGGTGCCCACAGTGCTGGGCCTCCGCAGCTGCCATGGCCACCATCACTACTCCTGTATGTGTGTGTGTGTGTGTGTGTGAGAGAGAGAGAGAGAGAGAGAGAGAGAGAGAGAGAGAGATCCTGGGAGTTGAATCCCGGGATGCTCTACCACTAAGTTACATCCCCAGCCCTTTTATTTTAAATTTTTATTTGGGACTGAGTCTTGTTTAGTTGCCCAGGCTGGCCTTGAACTTTTGGTTCTCCTGCTTCAGCCTCCCAAGTCGCTGGGATTATAGGTGTGCACCACTGCACCTGGCTACTGCTCCTTTTGCTCTGGTCCTGATCCCTCTTCAATGGGCATGACTGAGGGACACAGTCCCTCGAAGGAGATGGGGCCCCAGCCTGGGCCAGAGTTTGTTCACCAGAGTCACTTTCCCCTCCTTATTCAGCCCAGGGCAGAACTGGCTTGAGTGGGAACACATCTTGGGCTAGGGGTAAAGAGGGGCCAGGCCAAGAACAGAGCTAGCTTTTTCTTGAGTCCTCAGTAACATCAGGGCGCCTTGGAGGGTAACTAAGTTCCAGGAAAGGAAGCCCAATGGTCGTGGACAGGCTGCTGTGGGGACAGGGCCAGTGAATGCGCAGTCTCCTGGTCTTAGCTGCCTGGGGCCCCAGTTAGGTTCTGACTCCTTCTAGGCTTGAGACCAGGCTGGACTCAGACAGAGCTTCCTCAGCCATCGAAGAGTATAGGACCACCCTGCCTTCCCTGGGGGCCTCTCACTCCCCTTCTGTCCTCTCCTTCCCAGAGGTGTCTTTTTCTGTTCAGGGGAGTCCACCCCTTTTTCCACATCCCCTCTATGTGCCCCCAACCCCTTCCTTTCCCTCCTTCCCATGTATCTCCTTTCCTTTTCTCTCACAAGTACTCCTTGATAGCACACTAGGCCCAGTGCCTAAAACAACCATGCAGGTTCTATTTTCTAAAAGGTGGGAGGATTTACATGTCAGACTTTTCCCATGGAGAAAAGACAGAGAAATAAAACAGCTGGGTCCCCATACTAAAACTGGCCAGATGTCCATACCCAGCCACCCCAGCCAGGGGTTCACGGAGAGGGACCTCCAGCTACATGTGCAGGCAGACTCAGAGCCAGGGACCCCCACCCAGTCTTCCAGCCTTCCATGAGTCACTTTAGCCCTGTGCCTCAGGCTCCTCACCCAGACAATGGGGGTGGCAGCCCCTCCCACTGAGTGATTTTGAGAGGTCAGTCTTTAAAAAGCAGACAGGTAAGCATACACAAAAAGGCCAGCGGCAGGGGGATCCATCCTACAGCCTTTGTCTTTGAAACAGGAACATCCTCGATGTGGAGGCAAGCGAGGGGCACCGGGCTTCCGGAGCCTGGCAAAGGGCAGAGGGCCCTGCCCTGTGGTACGTGGTCTGGACTGCTATGTGTGCTGTCCTGGGCCTTCTGGGCTGCTTGTGCCCACAATCTGCCCCCGCCCTTCCTTGCTTCTGACTTCCCATCCGTTCTCCCATTCTCCCCTTCCCTTTTATCCCCAGCCTGTACCCCTGGTATGTGCATGGAAGGAGTCCAGGGGACATGCTCAGTGTGTCTGAGGCCTGTGTCTGTGCTTTGGAACAGAGTGAAGTGTTTTCTGCCCCAGGGTCCCCCAGAGATCTTGCATTTTGTCCCCCTCCAGACCACCTAAGGAAACCCACCCCCTGTTTGTGGCTGATGGCTGAGTGAGCATTGCTTGTGCCTCCAGACAACTCCAGCCCCCATGCCCAGAGTCCACCCTGACAACTTGAGCCCTCCTGTCTGCCACTCAGATCCCATCACAGGGCCAGAATGGGCTAGAGAGATGCCCCTCCTGACCTGTCATTAAATTCCTCTTGGAGGCATTCCTGCCCAAGGCCTGTAAGCTCTCAGGCCCCCAAGCTAAGGAGTCAGAGCCACTGTCATCACTGCCAGGCGGGAAGCCCAGAAGCCTCTCCACAGGGCCAGGATCAGACCCTCCTCCTGGCCAACAATGTCTGGCACAATGCCCATTACTTCATAGTGTCCTCCTGATTCTGCCCAACTGCACACTTGTCCCAACAAGCACAGTGAGAACACACTAGGACAAGTGCAGTAAGGGGCCATCCATTCCCCAGATGGATAGAGGAGACATCCTGCCTTAGTGGGTACAGCAGCCTGGCAGCTCTCTGGGCTGCATCTCCACACAGACTCAGAGTGTGTGGAATGCGGAGGGCTGGCCAGAATACCGTTCTCATCACTGGAACCTTCTTCCTTTCCAGGGCCCTGATGGGTTGCCAGTGCCTGGATGCTGGCATAAGGTACCTTGCAGGGAAGAGTGGGGGGAGAAACGGAGGGTCAGAGAGGGCCCTGGGGGCTGGACACCATTGCTCACAGTTCTGGATATCTGCTGCATCCCACACAGTGACTGAATAGCCAGGTTTCCCTGTGGTGACCCTGGTTCTGATTCTCCCATCACGTGGCCAAGGCTTGGGACTATGGTCCTGGCTGGTTATGTATAACCCACCCTACTGAGTCATACAGGCCTTAGTGGACACCTGGCCTGCCAGTTCAGAGCTGTCAGTGCTTCCTGGAACTCTGATTCTGCCCAACTGCACAGTGTCCAAACTGACCCACTAAGAAGGGCCTAGGAAGAGGGGATGGGGCCATGCCCAAATACAGTGGGATGAGGGCTACCAAAGCAGGGTGGCCCAAGCAGAGGCAAGACCCCAGGGACCTTCCAAGCCCCTCATCACCTGTAGTCTTTCCCTCCTTTTCCAGTGATCCTCAGGTCCAGCTCACAACTTGTACAGATCCGTGTGGACATTTTTAATTTTTGTAAAAACAAAACAGTAATATATTGATCTTCTTTCATGGGATGCACCACCTGTGGCCTTCTAACAATCGAGAGTGTGCCACCCAGCCCCAGAACCATCAGCAAGTGACGCCAACAGGAATGCGGGCAGGCCAATCCAGGGGAATTGTGTGCTTGAGGGGCACCTGCGGGGCTTGGATTTCCTGGGAAGGAGACGAAGGTGAAAGTGCCTGGCTCAGGTGAGCCTGGAAAGACACTGGGTTGGGCCTTCAGTCACCTGATTAGCCAAGACTCACTACTGTCCCCTTAATCCCCGGAGGCCCTGGTCACACTGTACCCAATGATGTTCGGACAGCATCTGCAGCTGCTCTGGCCTCTCCAGCCTCCAGACTCAATCACTACCCGCTACCCCCAGACCCTGGGTTTCCCAGGGCAGGACAAGACTACCATCAGCAATTACAGTTGGACCCTAGGGAACTGTCGATGTAAAGCACTCCAAGAGGGCCTAGCCCCCACCAACTTCTGTAGCCCTCAGAAGCCAGTCTGTTGTGAGAATATGTGTCCTCTGGCCATCAGCAGTAGCCAAAATCTGCGATTGCACAATGTGGAGCCAGCAGCAGTGGGAAGCCTGTTGTCCCTGAGTGTGCAGAGATACCCAGACTGTACTGGCTGCCACTTCCTGTCATCTCACCACAGGAAGGGACTTTCCTGGCCCTGAAGAGATAAGCCTCCAGCTCAGTTTGGGTTTCACTGGCCTCAAAGTCTCCTGCTCAAAATACTGATCAGCCTGGTAGAAATGGGTCTCACAGTGAGTTGTGCAGACTCGGCAAACTGCAAAGCTGGTGTTCCCAGCAGGACTGAGCAGGGGGCCTGTGACTGAGTCCTCCACACTCTGATGAAAGCCTTTGCCACATCTAACAAAGAGTCCTAGTGATCAGCTCTGTCCTAGCTACTTTCCTCTCCTCTCTGTGTAGATGGGCATCACTATGTGTAACAAACCACAGATGTGTGTCTGGGTGTGCCTGTCCTTGCAGACTGGCCCCAGGCACTTCTGGCTGAGGTTTCACCGTGGACATTGCAAGCTGGGGAAGGAGAAAGGGACTGTTCCTAGGTTGAAGCCACCTCCGAAAACAAAGGAGGTAGCTCAGGATCAGGTGGGAGACATGTGGGGAGTTAAGGACATAGGCTCAAGGTCAGGTCCTACCACACACCAGCAGAGTCCTCAGGCCAGTCACTTCATGTCACGGAACCCCTGTGTGCTTCTTTGCTGTGGCTAGCAGTGACTGCTGCATAAAAAATTGCCCTGAAACTTGCTTGTTTCCTTAAAGTATTGACTGTTTCTGTTTTTCTCTTACAGTTCTGAGGGTTAATCAGCTTGGCTGGGTGGTTCACTGAAAGTCTCCCACATTTGTTGCTTGATATTGCCCAAGATGGCCAGAATATCTATCTGGACTTTATGTGTAGTCCAGGCTTCCTCACAGCGTGGTGGCTAGATTCCAAAGTGAATAAGACAGGTAGAAACTGTGTCACCTTTTATGCCCAAACCTCCAAAGTTATATGGTATTGCTTTCGGCCAGAGTCAGAGGTTCACCCAATTTGAAAATAGAGAGGTAGACCCACCCTCTCAATGAAAAAAGTGGCAACATCGTATTTTAAGGAGAAAATGTGGGACACTATATGTAGCAGCCATCTTTGATAATGCCACCTACCACCTCATCTACAAAAGGAGATAGCATTACATATCACTAAGTGGTTCAATGAGGATCAACTTTGTGGAATACAGAAAGAATCTAGGACTGACTGATCAGACACTCTGAAGCACTTGGGACTCAGATTTTCCTCTCTTCTCCCCACTCTAAGACCAAGCGAGAGCCAATCTTGCAAAGCATTTCCATAGCTCTAATGTCAACTGGGCCTTGTAATATCTCTAAGAGAAGGACCCAGCAAATATGCCCATTTTACAGAGGACAAAACCAAGCACATCCATGGTGGTATAGAAAAGAAGGGACCTATAGGTAGAGTGTCTCAGACATCCTTTCCCCAAGGTCTGGAGCCTAAGGAGGGCTACAATATGGGTAGTTCCCCCCCACCACCACAAGACCCCCAAATGTATGCCCTCCTTGCTAAGCACAGCAGCCCAGTCATACTCAGGGTGAGGAAGGAGGAATATGTCAAGTCCCTATCTCTGACCTCTTCAGGAGCTGGTAATAAGTAGCAGGCCATGCTGCTTAGCCAGTCTACTGGCTCACCAGGGAAGCCAGAAGTAGGAAAAGGAGGAGAAACACAGTGAACTTGATGACTGGTGGAGACTTCTGGGTGTCAATGCCTCCTTTTGAGTCCCCATAACCTACTAAATCTACACTTGACAGTTAGCAATTCACTCCTCCCTCCAACCAGGAACTTCACTTGATATCCTCCCTAGACTTGTGAGGGATGGGGCTCATGAGGTAGGTGACACTATGTCCATTTTCCATATGGGAAAACTGAGCATCAGAGGGGACTCTCACCTGCCCAGGGATGCACGGCCAGGATGGAGTGGCAGGCTTGGACCCAGGCTCTTGGGTATTCTCCAATTTGTCTTTAGCAGGAATGGAAAATTTGTCTTTAGCAGGAATGGAAAATCATCCCCATGATGCTGGGTGGCTGACAGGTAATCTTTGTGGGGATAGAAGCCACTTTTTTTCTTCCTCAGACAACTAAGGGGGTCAATTTCCTACCCCATTGGACTGGATGGGACCATTTTTGGCTCGTTGCTGCCCCCTTGTGTCCCCATTCCTCCTATCCTCCAGTATACAAACTCAACTGCCAACATCAGTATGTAGAACTGCTGAGTCAGCTCGGGTGAAGGAGGAGAGGCTATGGGAGATTGAATGACTAGTTCAAGGTCCCAGCTGAGACACTGCAGAGCGCCTTGCCTCAATGCTGAGCCTCAAGGACTGAGAAGGGGGCTTCAGGGCTCCCTGCCAAGAAGGGTAGCTCTGCTTCAATCTTTTCTCTTCCGAAAGACAGAAAAGCATATTTACTGAGAGCTAAACTAACAGCAAGGACCACTATACCCTTTTCCAGATGAATCTGAGGCCTGGGAGAGGGGGGCTTACCAAGTTTACTTCCTCCTCATCCCTATGATACCACTAGAAATGCAGGGGAGGCTTTGGATTGTCACAATTATTGGAGGCCATTCCTGACATTCAGTAAGCAGAGCCAGGGACAGCAAACATTTGAAATGCACAGGACAGTTCTGCCCAACAATGAATCATCTCACTAAGAATGCCAGTTGAGAAACACCATGCCCCAGGTTCAAGTCTTGGCTCAGCCCCTACCTCCTATCCCATGCCCTCTTGCTTCCAGTGTAGCTTTGAAGGACACACATGAGATAACGGATGGGAAAATGCTTAGCATGGGCTAGAGGCAGAAAGGAATGGACTTTTTCTGAGCAGGGAGAGAGTGAAGCTATAGATAGATCATCTGAACCAGGAAATGTCCCAGTCTGGTCTGACCTTCAACTGTATCAGCCCCTGACCCTAGATAACCAGGGGCAGGTAAGATGTTCGCTGATCCTGGGTACAGCCTTCTTGCCCTCTACCCCAAGGCAGGAAAGCCCCTGAGCCAACCTGACTGCTCTGAGCTGCCCTAGGCTATGCCTGTGGCTGGACCTTAGGCTGTAAGACAAAACACTGAAGATGGAAATCAGGCAGGACTTTCTCTCCTTTCTCCCTTCCTCCCCCCACACCCCCCCACCACACACACCCACACATACACCAAAAAAAAAAAAAAACATTAAAAGCTGAAACTGCAGGGCATAGAGGAACATGGGTCTCTCCAGCAAAGAGGAGGAGCCAGTACATTGAGAAAACCATTGACCGCAGTCCCATTCACACACACAAGGGGCCTTGACCCTCAAAAAAGAAGTAAGTGCCATAAACAATTAACCTCTCATGGTTAATTTTAGAATTTTTTCAAGAATCGTGTACAGTTACAAATAAGAAACTCAGTTCAGGAAGATGACAAAGTTCTGTGGGTGGATGGTGGCGATGGTTGTACAACAATGGGAATGGACTTACTGTCACAGAATTGTACCGTTAAATGGCTAAAATGGTAAAGTTTGTTATGTATATTTTACCACAATAAAAAACATAAGGAATAAAAGAATATAAGAATGTTCTTTAATAAATGCCTTAAGCAGTCTACAATTTTATGAGGAAAAGAAGAAATCAGCAATCAGGAAGCCAAGCAGAGAGCTGGGAATCATGAGAAGATAGATACACACCAGCAAGGGTAAGTGTAAGCCTTCCTTCCCAGCGTCCTCAGGAGGCAGTCCCAAGTTCTTCCTTGTTCTAAGGTTCAAGGCAGGAAGTCTTCGTGTCCCCCAGGAAGAGGAAGAACCTCTCTGCTCTCCAGGCTTCCAATCCCTTGGAGATCTTTTCTTCTCACTCCCTGAAACTGGAGTCAAGCCTTTAGCAAAGGCCTTTCCCTTCCTGGGTCTCAGTTTCCTGGACAATATAACACAGCTCAGGAGACTTCCCAACTCTCTTCCAGTCTAAACACTGAATCATCTCAAATTCACCCCGCCTGGACTCCAGCAGGAAACAGGTCCAGCCCTTAGTTAGCTCCAGTAATGCCCGTTGTGCCCTACTTTCCTGCTGCTCCTGCAGGAGCTGGAGAGGCCTGTCTTCTACTCTGCCGCCCCTGGTGCATACCAGGCCCCAAGTGGATATCATTTGCACATTTTTCATTTAATCCTCACACTGCATCATTTTTTATGCACGGAGACGGCAACTCTTCCAAGCGTAGCCTGCCAGGATTGAGTGCTGCTCAATCGGGCGCTGGGAGCAGCGGCGGGATCACCTGGGGACACTTCTTCGGGGCAAGGGGAGACAACGGCACGGGTATGTGAAGCGGGTAGGCCAAAAGCGCGTCCCGGAACCAAAGCCAGGACAGCACTCGGCAGGGCGGACGCAAACCCGGCCCGGCGGGAGAAGGACAAGGAATGACTCGCTAGCCGGAAACCTGCGAAGCTCGTTTGCCAAAATGAAAGAACGAAAGCGAAGTGGGCCACTTGGGGGCGGGGCCCGAGATGCAAACTTGAGGCCAAAGTCTCGGGGGAGGCATGGGCGGGGCCGGGGCGGGGCCCTAGATTCCAAGCGCGCGCGGCCTAGTCTCTCGGCGCTGCGTCTCTGCACCGACTGACAGCGCAGCGCCATGGCCACCGATCAGCGCGCCAAGGCAGACACTCTGTCCCTGCGGCAGCGGCTCCTCAGGTACCTAGGCGCGCGCACGCACGACGCGCGCGCGCCTTCGGCACAGAGCCCGCGACTTCCCATTCCCTCCCGGCCTTATCTGGGCCGCAACCCCTCGTGTTCTGAAGCTCTGCAGTCCTGGGCAGGCGGTTCCCGCAGCGGCTTCCTCGCAGCGGCTTCCCGCCGGCTCCTGGGCCCACCCTGAGGCTCGGGAACCCATGTCACCCTCCCCGCAGCTCTCGCCACGGGCGCCTGGGGAGACAGCCTTTGCCCTAGCACCTGGGCGGACCTCGCCCACTGGTGGCCCTTCAGCACGACCAGGACCTGACTTGAGAGTGATCCTGGGAGGGCTGAAAGTTCAGACGGAGGGTGGGGTGGGGAGTCCTTCACAGCGTTAGAGGAAGTATGCACTTGACCTGCGAGAGGGGCCCTCAATGGGACATGGCAGGGGAGGAGAAGGCATCCTCCAGCCAGAGCTCAAGACTAGCACACATCTGGGGCAACAGGGCCACTTAACTGGCAAGGAATCTTTAGGGCTGAGAGACAGCTACCTAAGGGTGCCATTCCTTATACAGCCATACAGGGCCCCGTGGGTCTGACTGGGGCAGTTCCTTTTCCCAGGATCTAAGCAACTGATGTGGGCACACAGGGAAATGAGCAAGGCCACTGAGGCTTAATATGACTTAAACAATTTTAAGTCTTAGCAACTTCCTGCCCCATTTTTTTCCTTCTTTACTATGGAATGAGAAGCCTGGCAGCAAGGAAAGAGCACTTTGTCCTTAAAGTTTTTGTTCTTTCCAGAAACCAGAAAGAGGTGAGGAGGTAGGTGGTCCCTTCAGGTCTTCAGACATGGCTGTCCACCTCTGGTCTGTCCCCACAGCTCTTCCTGCAGACTTTTTTTCCCTGAGGATCCAGTTAAGATTGTCCGTGGCCAAGGGCAATACCTGTATGATGAACAAGGGGGAGAATACATCGATTGCATCAACAATGTGGCTCATGGTCAGTATCACCTCAGGCTGGTGGGGCAGGAGAGGCTGTGAATCTGATGCCAGTTGTAGAGAGCCTGGCTTGAGCTGACTCACATCCATGTGCAGAGAACGCCGAGTCTTTGTCAAGTAGCAGTAGAAGTCTCAGGCAGGAGTCAGAGGTCTAGGTGTGTGGATTCAGTTCCACCTGGGACTGATGATGAGCTCAGAGAGTGACAAACAGCCCAGCCATGAACAGCACTGCAGCACAGCCATCGCCAAGTGCAGGGATTATGGCAGGGATTCAGCTACATTGACCATTTCAGGTGCTGGTAAGGAAATTGAAGCAGAAATTCAGTCACTCAGCTAGGACTGCCAGAACTGATGGAAGAAAAGGAGTCCATGAATTAGGAGGCAAAATGGAGGTGAATAAAACAGGTTAAAAGCCAGGGCTCAGGGCTGGAGTTGTAGCTCAGCGATAAAGGGCTTGTCTCGAATGTGTGAGGCACTGGGTTTGATTCTCAGTACCACGTATAAATACATAAATAAAATAAAGGTCTATCAACAACTAAAATATATATTTTTTTAAAAAGCCAGGGCTCTAGTTTTTGCTAACTTACCAACTTTGTGATTTTGAACAAGTTATTTCATTCTCTATACCTGTTTGCTCGTCTGCATAATAGACCATGTACTACTAGACATTCACCTCCAAGTATTCTGGAGAAATATGTGTTAACTAACAAAATTTAGTTTTGAATGTGCCTGATGTTAGGCAAGCTCTAGTGCATGTTCCTTGTTATTATCCTTGGCCTTTGGCAATCAAGATTACCTCCAGCCCCCACCAACTGGTCAAGTCAAGCCATGTGACAATCACCTCTGATCCTTGCCTCTCAAGGAAAAGGCCTACAGAAGCCTCCTTAAAGGCATAGTTTGTCTAAATAGGATTTCTGCTAGAGAATCTTTTCCTTCTGCTGGAATCCCAGGAACTTCTTTCTAGATCTTCCTTTCCAGATCTATCATCCCCATCCCACCCCCACCCCCACCCCCGCTCCCATCTTAAACTCATCTTTTTCCACCTCTCCCTTTGTAACTGTGTCTCCCCTGGCTGGATTTCCAGAATGGGGCTGGGGGAGGCCCAGTGGGACTGGCCGAGTGGAGTCGGCCATTTGATGGAGGTGGCCCTCTTGCAGTCGGGCACTGCCACCCTCTCGTGGTCCAAGCTGCACATGAACAGAACCAGGTGCTCAACACCAACAGCAGATACCTTCACGACAACATCGTGGATTATGCACAGAGGCTGTCGGAGACCCTGCCAGAGAAGCTCTGTGTGTTTTATTTCCTGAATTCCGGGTAAGTGAACTGCAGCCAGCCCCTAGCAAGAGAGTGAGGCACCAAAGAAGAATCACTCACATAGGCACAGCATGGTGTAGGCTTCAGGGAGAGGCTCCTGTGCTTCCTAAGTGTGGATCCTGGTTCTTTTTCTGTTGGATCCAGTTTTCTTCTCTTTTAGTAAAGGATGCCATTGCCTCTCTTCCAGGATCATTGTTGGGGCTTGATGAATTAATGTGTTCCTTTATTTCTGCCTTCCATAAGGCCCAAAGACCCCTACTTAGTAGAAGCAGAAACATCAAATGATTCTTCAAAGAAATATAAAATTACCAAGAAAAGTTATTGTCTGGAGAAAAAGCATATGGTATAATGAGGCCCAAAAATTTGGGGGGACCTGACCTGTTCTGGAAGGTCAGGAAGGTTTCCCTGAGGAAACAATGTTAAGCTAAAAGCTCAGGAGAAAACTAGGGGAAAAGGAAGGAAGGGTGCTGCCTACTCCACCACAAATACTCTTGTCTAGGTCGGTTACCACACGGAACAGCTTGTGCAAAGGCCCTGTCATAGGAAGGGGCACAGCATCCTGGCACACTTGAAGAACTGAAAGAGGAAGAGGAAAGGGTGTGAGCTAACTCTGGAGAGGGACCCAGGGCCCATCACCCAAGGACCTTATCCATCAAGTGAGGACACTGTATCCTCAGAGCACTGGGAAGACATCAGAGGGTTTTAGTTAGGGAAGTGATGTCATCAGGGCTGGCAGAAAGCAAGAGTTGACAGGGTTTGGTGCCAATTCAGGGGCCAGGTAGGAGGTGATTGTAGCTTACAATGAGAGTGGCAGTGACAGCAGAATCAGGCAGATGATCATGGCATATCTGAGAGAGAATATTCCAACAATTGTAGGTAGTGGCATTTGGATTATAGTAGTGATTTTTGTTTGTTTTTATGGTGGTATGGAAGCAACCCAGAACCTTATAAATGGTAGACAATCTCTCTACCACTGAGCACTTGCCCAGCCTAGTAATGATGATTATTATTGCCATTGCCATTTATCATTCATCAGTTCCCTGAATTACTTCTAGGAAGTAAAATTTACAATCTTAATTTGACAGATAAGGAAACAGTTCAAAGAAAGGAGCTAAGAAGTGACAGACTAAACTGGAACCCCAGTTGGAAGAGCAGGGAATTGGTGCAGGGTTGGTACTTTCTCAGCAGAGGAGGAAGAGCTATTCCTATTGGCTTATTAACCCACCAAATTCATTCTGTGTAGGTGCCAATGACTTTTATGTTACCAAATCCAGTAATCTTGGCTACCTTTGACTTATCTGTCTTCCAGCAATATTTGACAGAGTGACCGTGCTCTGGAAATTTTTTCCTCTGGTTTCTGGTGCCTTCCTGGTATCCTGCCAGCTTTTCTGGCCACTCCCCTCTGAATCCTTTGCCAATACCTCTTGCTATATTCCTCTGGACTGGTCCTGGGCCATTTTTTTTCTCTCTGAGTCCTCTTGCTCCATGATCTCATCCATTCCCTCAGTATTAAATATCCGTGTGCTGCTGACTCCCAGTTTATATCACAAGCCCAGATGCTTCCCATGTGTTCCAGACTCAAGGTTCTAACTGTCCATTTGACATCTGACAAACGTCTCCAACTTCACATATCCAGAAACAATCAAGACATGTCTTCTGCGACACCTAGTGTGAGACCATTACACTGGTTCTCCCTGATGTTCCCAGCCACCGACTCCCGGCCTTCCCAGCCCCACCACTGCCATCCTCACATCAGCTCACCTCATAAATGGCATCACTATCCACATCTCTGCTCAAGGAAGAAACTAAATACATGCATTTCTGCTTCAGTCCCATCTTGTCTGTCTCCAAAAAATCCCTTTACTCCAAGCACTTCCCCATCCCCTGCTCTCACCTGGACCTCCTAGGTCTCCTCACTTCCACTTTCATTCCCTTTTGACATATAGCTACAGACTGCCTCCTAAAATGGGATTTGAATCATGTGCTTTCTCTGATTAAAACTCCTCATTGGCTTTGTTGTCACTGAAAAGAAAACCCAGGCTCCTTCCCAGTCCTGTGAATGTGGCCCCTGCAGCACTCTGCACTTCTCCTGGCTTGCCCTCCCTAGGCTCTGGCCTTGCTTGTCTTCTCTTGCTTCTCTGACACAAGTTCCTGCCTCCATCAGGGCCTTTGTGCATGCTGCTCCCTCTGCCTGGAATGGTCTCCCTCAAGACTCAGGTGTTACCTCCTTAAAGAGCCACTCTTGACCCTAGCTAGGGTGGCCATAACAAAATGTCAGACTAGGGGACTTCAGCAATAAAGTGTACTATATCATATTTCTAAGAAGCAAAAAGTCCAAGATCAAGGTGTCAGTAGGATTGGTTTCTTCTGAAGCCTCTCTCCTTGACTCACAGAGAGCTGCCTCCTTCTTGTGCCCTCATGTGGCCTTTCATCTGTGTGGAAACATCCCTGATGTCTCTGTGCATCCAGATTTCCTCTCCTTCTAAGGACACCAGTCAGATTGGATCAGGATACACTGAAGCCCTTCTTTTACCCTACCTCTTCAAAAGCTTTATTTCCACATAAAGTCACATATAAGATACTGGGAGTTAGAGCTTCAACATAACAATTTTGGAGCAACACAGTTCAACCCCTAACACATTCTTATTTAAAGTAGCGCCCATCCGATTCTCCCTTAGTACGCTGGACCCACAGCTAGCACTTAGAAAAATGATCACTCTTTGTTTTTTTGGCTTTCATGACACATCAGAATGTAAGTTTCAAAGAGGCCAGGGCCTCCTGTTTTACCTACTCTTTTTACCCCAGAGTGTCACTGAAGGGCTTTAAGAGGGAGGGTGATAACAGGGCTGAGCATATAGGAGGCACTTTATGTCTATCAAACAAATGACTAAATGAATGAAGTCCAAGAATCTTCTTGCTGCTGGAAGGGTTCCTCTGTTCACATGGTTTCTCTGTGGAGAACCTTTGAGTGACTGTCCAAGCCGTGCCCACCTTTACTGTTATAGGTCAGAAGCCAATGACCTGGCCCTGCGGCTGGCTCGCCAATACACGGGACACCAGGACGTGGTGGTATTAGACCAGTAAGTGAAACTCATAGCCCTGCCTGCCACTTTCAGGCCCATAGGCTTATTGAGGATCAGTGAGACTCTGACCTTGGCTACCTTAGACAGAGGATGAAAGCCTTGAAACATGACAGGCACAGGACTATGCCCCAAAGATACCTCCCAGGGACTCTATCATCAGGCCACTGTCCCGGGAGGGCAGCTCCTGGGGAGGAGGACATGCTTTGTAAGGAATTGAAAGTCCTTCATTTAGATATTCAAACTGTTCCAGCTATAGCTCCTATGTATTGAGTATCTGATGTGCAGAAGACCCAGGCCTGGGCTTAGAGCATTAGCCCAATTAAGATACATTATACCCTGAAGGAGACGCCATAAACACACTTCACAGAGGAGAAAACTGGACCCAGAGAGATTAAGCAATCAGTATTTTGACATGGCCAGTTAGTGGCCTTGTAGGAAGTCTTACTACAAGGCCCATGCTTGTTCCCAGTCCAAGAGCTGGGGGTCTTTGTGTTGCCTTTGGCAGTGGATAGGCAGTGGTCAGGGTTAGATCATAAGAACATGCTACTGGGGCCTGAGCCCTCCCTTTTTCTCCCCAGTGCTTATCACGGTCACCTGAGCTCCCTGATTGACATCAGTCCATACAAGTTCCGGTACCTGGATGGCCAGAAGGAGTGGGTCCATGTGGTATGCACTACCCACAATGGCAACAGGTTGGTGCCCACCCCGAAGCCAGAATGACACAGTGCTTGTACTCCCTACAGGCACCTCTCCCAGACACCTACCGGGGCCCTTACCGAGAGGACCATCCCAATCCAGCTGTGGCCTATGCCAATGAAGTGAAACGTGTTGTCAGCAATGCACAGGAGAAGGGCAGGAAGGTAACCACACCCTCAACAGTCTAGTGAATGTCACCACCACTGTTACCTGCGCTGTGCTAGATGCCTAGAGGGAAAGCAGAATGAGGCCCTGCCCTCTTGGAATTTAGTGTGTGCATGAGGTGGGGCTAATAGGTGCCCAGCCAAGAATTTTGGTGAGAACATCCTAGATGTTATAGGCATCCAAGGCCCAGGGAGGACTTATGTGGGCACGAAGGCAGGTCCTTGCAGAAGGTACTACCTGACTGCAATAGTAAAAGGTGAGTAGGAATTAGCAGGGGAAGAAGGGCCTCCTAAACAGGATAGCCTGTGCAGAGGTGAGGAACTGTGGGTGTGGAGATAGGTGGGCCTGAAGAGGCAGACAGGACCCATCTGCCAGGGGATCCCAATGCTGTGGTGAGTGACTGGAACTCTGCACTGGAGACCATGAGTGTCAGTGAAGGGCTTTAAGAGGGAGAGCGATAACAGGGCTGAGCTGTTCTCTCATCTATCCCAGCTGTGTGGGATGGATGTGAATGGGATATCCTGAGAGGAGGGATCTTGAGGAGGCTGTGTTGGTTCTAAGTGAGCAATGGGGAAGCCTGACCAGGGCAGTATAGTGGAAATGAAGTGGACAAGCAGAAACAGGAGAAATGTGCTGTGACCCAGAACAGTACCCACAAAGGGCAGTTTTGGTGACTGGGGTGAAGACTTTCTGGAATACTTCACTGAAGGAGTGACAGAGCAAAACACAGGATACATGGCAAAGAAAGGTGGGCTGTGGGACCAGAAGGGTTGGCAGGATCAGACCAAGAAAGTCTGACCTGTAGATTTCAGATGCTGTGCAGCCACTTCCATAAAACCTGGAAAGAACATTGCTCTGTTTGCAGCAGAGGTAGAGGATCAGTTTCCCACCCAATCAGCCCCCCCCCCACATCCTACCAATGGCCTCTGAAGCAGTTCCCAGGCAGAACACAGTTGGGAAGTCATGGCTGTGAGCAGAGGGGTCAGTAAAGGGTTTTAAGCAGGACAGCAAAGAGTTCAACTTTCTGGCTTGTAGTGTCACCCCTGTGGTCTTGTGAGAGAGACACTGTAGAAGTGTCCAGTTGAGTAGATGACAACTATGAGGCCAAGGCAGAAACAGGCAAGTCCTCTGGGAGGCAGGCATGTCAGAGAGGAAGTAGTGAGTTCAGAGATGTTACTGAAGTAGAATCAATATCAGCATGACTGATTAGATGAGGGAGGGGGCAATCAAGAATGGGACCATATTTGTCCAAGGCAGGAGGGATGAGATTGGTACGGGTCACCAGAGAGGGGAAGGAAGGAACAGGCATACCAGTGAATTTATAGTTAGGGACACACCAAGAACAAGGGGACGGAGGCATCCATATGTAAGTGTTGGTTTGAGACCTAAAAGAAAACCCGAGTCTCAAACCATCAGATGTGACATGGGCTCCAAAGGAGGGTACAGCAGTGATGGCGTCTGGTCCTGCTGGGGACTACCGCTGAGCCAGCATCAGCAGGGCACACCGAATTGCCTGGTGGTGTTCCCAATGTGTGTCTCATCCACAGATTGCAGCCTTCTTCGTGGAGTCTCTGCCCAGCGTGGGAGGGCAGATCATTCCCCCTGCTGGTTACTTCTCCCAAGTAGCAGAGTAAGTAGGTGGGCAGCACCTGCCAGAGGGAGGGCAGAAAACTGTGTTCCTAATCCCAACCACAGCCTGACCTGCTTGCCAGAATATTTTAAAGAAATGATGGCCTAGAGAAGGCTAGCCATTGCCCATTCCCCCTGCCCTCCACCACCCCACCTTTCTGCTGGTAGATCCAGGTTCAGAGCCCTAAGACCTCCCAACTCCTGGTTAAATTCCTCTCACCAAAGCCCCGATGGCCATCTGTCCTCCACCACAGGCACATCCACAGGGCTGGAGGGGTCTTTGTCGCAGATGAGATCCAGGTTGGCTTTGGCAGAGTAGGCAAGCACTTCTGGGCCTTCCAGCTGCAGGGGGAAGACTTTGTCCCTGACATTGTCACCATGGGCAAGTCCATTGGCAATGGCCACCCAATTGCCTGCGTGGCCACCACCCAAGCTGTGTCAAGGGCATTTGAAGCCACCGGCGTCGAATACTTCAACACGGTGAGTGAAGGCTCCAGGGCAAGGGAACACCATGGGCTTTACTAGACTCCAGATTACCCATAGTAAAGGTGGCAGGGATAGTACTATGCCCAGTGCAGAGATTCTAAGAAAGAGCAGCAAAGCTGCCTACAGTGTGCTAGGCCCTATGGCAGGTGCTGGAGCCAGAAAGCTGAGCAGCTGCATGAGGAGCTGAGTTTTTTAGGGAAACAGATAACCCAGGAACAGATTTCACGTCAGAGGGTAGCTTTATGTTTCCTGTCTTTGTGATACAGGATCAAGAGCTTTCTCTAACTGAAGTTGACCCAATAGCTTTGTTCAATGGCTCCCAAGATGGAGATTGCAGTGTAAGCAAGTAGAGCATGGTGGTCAGCCATAGTTTCATTGCAGAGACAATCTAAAATGATCCAAAGGCAGTGAGGAACTGTGAAGGGTGTGTTTGTTTTGCAGTACTGGGGACAGAACTCAGGGCCTCTTGCAGGTTAGGCAAGCACTCTACCACTAAGCTACACCTGGAGTTCCAGTGAGAGGGTTTTAATCATGGAAGATGAGGTCTGAAGTAATTTTTGGAAAGATGCAGACAGAATCACAGAAGACTGTAACAGGCAGGAAAGGAGGCCCAAATCTGTGCTTAGGCCACAGGAAGAACAGGAAAGGACAGAGCTGAAGATCCACTAAACTGTCAAAAGAGGCAGTTTGAACTAGAGATCAAAACATTCCAGAGCTTAAACCAGTTTCAGGATGGCTAAATAAGGCAGAGAAGGTCATTGAGAGTGAGGGAAATGCTGGGTACAGTGGTGCAAGCCAGTAATCCCAGCAACTCAGGAGGCTGAAGCAGGAGGATCATAAGTTTGAAGCCAGCTTGGACAACTTAGCAGGACCCTATCTCAAAATAAATTAAAAGAAAAAAAAACTGGGGCTGTGGCTCAGTGGTAGAGAGCCCCTGGGTTAAATATTAAAATAAAAGGGATGGGATATAGCTCAGTGGTAAAGAATGGTCCCATTCTTGCCTAGCATGCTTGAGGCCTTGAGTTCAATCCAAGTACCACAAGGGGAAAAAAAAAAGTAACATTTTGGCTGGTGCTTTCAGCAGACTTTCACTGTGTGCCCAGGTGACACAAACAGTGCCTGTGCCCTCTGAACAAGCTCATTGTCAGGGGAGACAGGGTCATGGTACCATCATGATATCAGTGGAAGATGACTTAATGGAAATAGTGTTCATGGCACTGTGAGAGCAAAGGGGGCGCCCCAGACAGGAGGTAAGCCAAGTGGTGTGGGACAAGTGGTGAAGGCATTGTGTGGAAGATAAGCCCAAAGCCAAATCTGGAATAATGAGCAGGTATTTGCTGTGTAAAAAGAAAGTGTTGTATTTGATGAAAGACAATGACCCAGTGAAGCTTGATCCTGGAGTTTTTGTTTCATATACGTGTTTTACTTGGAACATCAAGTGCACATAACTAGATTTAAGTATAACCCTTGTTTCATAAAATACTCTCATCATCTGTCCCTGCATATTCTTCAAGTTAACAATTTACCTGGTTACCTTATTGATGTTACAAACAACTTGGGAGGACATCATCTCAAATAAAAGTTAGGACCTTGATGATAACCTACATTTATTCTTTTATTTGGCCCCAAACCATCTCATTGCCTCCATCACCTATATAACTATCACTCTGAATCCTAAGTTCATTATTTATTCTAGTTGTTTGCTGAATTTAGTTGGATTTTGTTGTTTTCACCTAGCATTGTATTACTAAGATTCATCCATATTGCTTTTCACTGTAATTTGCTTTATAATACTCACTGTGTTAACGTACCACAGATTATTCATCCATTCCCATTAATGTGCTTTGAAGTTGTTCCATGTTTTTGGCAATTATGAACTGGGCTCCTGTGCCGAGTTTTTCTTAGAAGTGAAAGGATAGGTTATGAATTAACCTAAGAGTAAGACTGCCAGGTCACAGAGGTTGTATCCACCCTCAATTTTAAGAGACAATGGCATCCATTTTCCAAAATAGTTCACAAGACCCTTCACTGGCAATGTATGTCCTCATCAACACCTTTTAGTTTTTGCCAGTTAAGAACCATGTAGAATGGTAGCCAATATGGACTTGGTATGCTGTTCCCTAACTTCAAATTATATGAAGCATCTCCTAATTTTATTGACCATGCATTTCCTCTTCTGTGAAATGCATGTTTTTTTCATATTTTAAAATTATTGATGATTTTCTTATTTGTGGGAATTTTGTATATCTGTGTACACATGTGTCTGTATGTTTGTGTGTATACCTACACAAACATATCTATATACTTTTTTTAAATGTTGTATTTTTTATACCTTTATTTATTTATATGTGGTTCTGAGGGTCGAACCCAATACCTCACACATGCTAGGCAAGCGCTCAACCACTGAGCTACAGCCCCAGCCCCTCTATATATTCTTGAAACTAATTCTTTGTCAATGTGTATATTATAAATATGTTCATCCAGTTAATAACCTGGCTTTTCAACTTTTTGTATTTATGATAAACCAGTTTTCAATGTTTAACATCATTGACCTATCTTTTCTATTATAGTTTTTCATTTATTGTCAAAGAAATCTCTCCCTACTTCGAGATCTAAATATCTAAAATATACTATCAATATTTTAAGTGTTTTGACATACAAGTCCTTAATCTGTCTGGAGTTAATGTAGGGTGTACATCAGGAATCATCATTTTTCTCTGATCCCTTTATACTTCACTGATATGCTACCTCCATTTAGTAACCAAAGGTCATACATAACATACATAAGTGGGTCTGTTTCAGAGCTTTTATTTCTACTCTTTTGATTAACTTGTCTCTCTTCTTGTATCACGTTACTTTATTACTGTTATGAGCTTCATAATATGTTCTTATCTGATATAAAGAAGGTCCCTCTTACCTTTTTTTCATGCTCAGAAGAGTTCTGACTATTCCTGACCACTTTTTCTCTCACTTTATAAACTTCAAGAAATGTTTTCTCTCTCACTTTATAAACACTTTAAGAAATGCCCTGTTGGAATTTTGTTAGGGAAACTGCTTGAACTATAGGTCAATTTGAAAAGCTTTATTTACAATATTGAATCTTCCTATTCAGGAACATGGTGTAACTTTCCATGTTTTATAATCTTCCCTATAAAGATCTTACATATAGGAGTTGGGGTTGTGGCTCAGTGGTAGAGTGCTTGCCTAGCACATGTGAGGCACTAGGTTCAATCCTCAGCACCACATAAAAATAAATAAAGGTATTTTTAAAAAAAAATCGTGCACACTGCTAGATTTTTTATTGAATATATTCACCATCATAAATGGTGACTTGTGTGTATATTTACTGTTTGGTTCTGTTATAAAAAATCAGAGCCAGGCACGGTGGTGCACACCTATAATCCTAGAGGCTTGAGGAGGCTGGGGCAAGAGGATCACAAGTTCAGAGCCAGCCTCAACAAAAGCGAGATGCTAAGCAACTCAGTGAGACCCTGTCTCTAAACAAATACAAAACAGGGCTGGGGATGTGGCTCAGTGGTCAGTGCCCGAGTTCAATCCCTAATACCAAAAAAGAAAAACTATGGACTATCCACATTCTCTTGCTAAACTCTATTATGTCTAAGAATTAGAGGAAGTTTTTTTTTTTTGTTTTTTCCTGTATAAATAATCTTATCACCAAATAATGTCAGCTGTTTAATTACACAGGATGAGAGGCTTCCACTACAAAATAAATAATAGGACATGAGGCATATTTGTTCAGTTTATGGGAATGCATGTATCCGTCCATTTAGGATGATGTTTGTGGCCTGAGGGTGTGTAGTTCAGTGGCAGAATGTATGTTTAGCATATGCAAGGCCCTGGGTTTCATCTCTAGCACCTCAATAAATAAACAGATAATATTTGCTTGGGTTTGTTTTTTTTAGTTTTTAGCAACACTGGGAATTGAACCAGGGCCACTCTACCACTGAGCTACATTCCCAACCCTATATATATATATATGATATGCTACCTCCATTTAGTAACCAAAGGTCATACATAAGTGGGAGAGACAGAGTCTAAGTTGCTAAAGCTGACCTGAGACTCTCCTGCCTCAGCCTCCCAAATCACAGTGATTACAGACATGTGGCACCAGTGCCCAGCTGTATTTTTTATATAAACCATCTTTATATACCTGAGACAAATCCAGCTTGAGTGTGGGATATTCTCACTTTTATGCACTATTATATTCTACTTCCTTATATTTTATTTATAATTTGGCATCTATTTTCAGGAGTAAAATTTAACTAGAATTTTTTTCTTGTAACTTGGGTTTTGCTAGCCTTGTAGAATGAATTAGGAAGTATTCTTTCCCTTTACATAAAATTGGAATGATCTGTTCCTTGAAAGTTTGGTAAAAACTCAATCTGAACCTTGTGTTTTGTGAAAAGAAACTTAATTGCTTTTTTTTCTTTTGGTACCAGGAATTGAACCCAACGGTACTTAACCACTGAGCCACATCCCTCAGCCCGTTTTTTATATTTTATTTAGAGAAAGGGTCTCACTGAGTTGCTTAGGGCCTTGCTAAATTGCTGAATTGAGGCTGGCTTTGAACTTGAAATCCTCCTGCCTCAGCCTCCTGAGCTACTGGGATTACAGGAGTGTCACTGCTCCCAGCCTTAATTGCTGCTTGAAGTTGTTTTAGTCAATTTGGGCTGTTATAACAAACTACCATAGACTGGGTAGCTCAAACACAACCAAAATTTCTCACAGTTCTAGAGGCAGAAAGTCTTAAGATCAGGGTGTCATGATGGTTGAATTCAGGCGAGGATCCTCTTCCAGGTCGCAGAAAACTGACTTCTCACTGTACCGTCATATGATGGAAGGGGCAAGAGAGCTCTCTGGAGTCTTTTTAAAAAGTTTAATCCTATTTATGAAGGCTCAACCCTCATGACCTGATTACCTATCCTTTTAATACCATCACATTGGGTGTTAGGATCTCAACCTAAGAATTTTGAGGGGACAACAAAACATTGTCCATTTTAAGTTATACAGGACTTTTTACTAAATATTTTCTTCCTCTTCTCTCCCCATCTGGGACTGTGTTAGTCTACTTGATTGTGTCCAGACGTTTCTACAGGCTTTTTGTTTTTTTGTTGTTTGGTTTTGAGATGGGATCTTGCTGTGTTGCCCAGCTCATCTTGAATTCCTGGACTTGAGCAATCCTTCCAGTGGTGAGTTTAGGGCTTTTCAGTTCTTTCTGAACATACACATATATTTGGCTTGAGCATATTCCTAAGTATATGCATGCCCCTTAAATTACCAGGAATATGTCAGAGCTAGCTTTTCAGAGTCCCTATAGACATCTCATTTCCCAACTTTTTATTTTTATTTTTTTTTATTAATCTACTGTTTGTCCCAATAGTGAGCCACGATGTTAAACTATTGCTTCTGATCAACAAATACACTGGAGAAAAGGTTGTTCACACTGGGCAAACTCCTCCAATGTCAACTAAATTCCCCCTTTTGTGTGAGGTCTTCCAGGGAGCCACCAGGAAGATCAAACGAGTTCTCAAAAGAATGGGGCTTCCAAAGACGCTTCAAACCCATTTCCTGAATTCTGATGGGTTTTGCTAGTATTGTTCCTTTTATGGAGGAGAGAATTTTGGAAAGGGTGGGGGGCAGGCAGGGACCTTATTCTGTCATTTTCATCACTATCACTTTAAGTCATCAATTCTTGTTCCTTTTTTATGCAATTGGCTCTTTTGGAAATTTCTGCAGTTTTCCTTGTTTTTAGTACTGGGGAGTAACACCAGGTACTCTACCACGGAGCCACATCCCTAGCTCTTTTTGAGACTGGGTCTAGCTGAGTTGCCAAATCTGTCCTCAAACTTGCAATCTCTTATCTCAACCCATCAAATTGCTAGGATTACAGGCATGCACCACTATACCCAGCTTGAAAATTTCTTTTGTCTTTATTTTAAATTTTATAATGTCCATATATGCATTTCACCTTTCTCCTTTTGATACTCTGTGAATTCTTTACATCTGAGGTAGGTTTTTTTTTTTTTTAATTCCAGATCTATTTCAACTACTTGCACATTCTTCTTTTCTAATATTTATTTTTTAGTTGTAGTTGGGACACAAAACTTTATTTTATTTATATGTGGTGCTGAGGATCAAACCCAGGGCCTCGCATGTGCTAGGCAAGTGCTCTACCGCTGAGCCACAACCCCAGCCCCTACTTGCACATTTTCATATCATTGTTCTCCTTCTAAGACTTCTATTATTCAGATATTAGCACTTCCATCCATCTTCCATATAACTTAGATTTATTTACGTTTTATATTTGTTTCCCCCACTTTTTCCTCTGGGAATTTTCTCACCTGGTCTTTTTTTTTTTTTTAAACAAGTTGGCTTTTTTTAAAATATTTTTTTAGTTGTAGATAAATTATGAGGTATTGAGGATCAAACCCATTGCCTCATATGTGTGAGGCAAGTGGTGCTCTGCCATTAAGCCACAATCACAGCCCTCTCACTCTGGTCTTTAAATTCAAAATTACTGAGCTGTAGCCAAGTGTGGTGGCACATGCCTGTAATCCCAGGCAACTCAGGAGGCTGAGGCATGAGAATCTCAAGTTCTCAGCCTGACAACTTAGCGAGACCCTGTCTCAAAATATAAAATTAAAAAGGGCTGAAGTTGTAGCTCAAAGGTAGAACACTTGCCTAGCATGCATGAGGCTCTGGATTCAATCCCTAATATGGGGAGTGGGGTAAAGTTTCAGATTTTGGATAAGGATTAATCAACCTGTAGTTCATGTTAAATAAAAAAAAAATGATAATTCCAAATGATAATGAAATGTCGAGTAAGACATTACTGGAGTCTCACAGACTGATGGGAATGGAGTTTTTTTCATGTAAATATACATTTACCTTAAAACCCAACAAACAGTTCCACACCTATTTACCTAAGCAAAATGAGAACATAGTTTTTACAAAGGACTGTGTACAAATATTCATAGGATTTTTATTCATAATAACCAAAAATTAAAATAGCCAAAGGATCCATCAACAGAAGATAAACAGATTATGGCAGATCCATAAAATGGAATAATTATACAACAAAATGAACAGATTACTGACACTTATAACAGTATGGACAAATTCCAAAAACAATGAGCAAAAGCTAGGCACAAGAGGATATATAATTCTTTAATTCCATTTAAATCACATTCTAGAAAAGGCAAAGCTAGAATGACAGAAAGCAGGTCAATGGTTGCCTGGGACTAATAGTGAAGGAGTGAGAGTACAAGAAACTTGGAGGAGTGATGGAAATATTCTGTAGCCATCGTGGAGAAAGTTGCACAAGTACATACCTTTGTTGCATCTCATTCAACCTTACACTTAAAAAAAAAATCATTATTGTTATGCCTAAATTTCTTGGTTTTTGTTTTTTGGCAGTACTGGGGATTGATTCAAGGGCCTTGCACAAACTAGGCAAGCACACTACCACTGAGCTACACACCCAGCCCCAAAGCTTGGTTTTTGTAACATAGGGGAGCACTTTATCATGGAGCCACATCCTCAGTCCGTTTTTTGAGAAATGTTCTCATCAAGTTGCTTACAGCCTAGCTAAATTGCTGAGGCTGGCCTTTTTGTGATCTCCCTACCTCAGGAGTCACTGGACTTCTGATCCTTTAAAACACAGGTCCCATTCAGACACCTGTGGGGTCAGGCTGGACAGGAAAAGCAAGCTAATGCACTCACTGCCTGAAGAGAACCACTGATCTTGCTTGGTCCTTGTGTGGCCAGATAGGCCATGTTTGTTTTATCAGAAATAAAGGTATGAAGTCTCTTGCAAGAATTTATGAACCCAATTCACAAGCTTTTAGAAATGCCACACAAGCCAAATAAAATGCAGGGGTATTACAGGCTCAGCCAACAGAGCTGTGAATTTATGCCACCCAGAGTGACTTTTCCCTGGTAAGCTTTGTGGTGTGCTGTTATGAACCCTCCTTTACAAATGTGATGGGTACAGTCCAGAGCTGTGGATCTGGGCACAGCCAATGACTTGCCACCCTAAGGCCTCTGAAGGAGGATGGGACAGCACTAGCTCTTTTGAAACACACCTTCTCCAGTGGTTCTGTGGGGCTCCTAACTGCATTTCCAGGGATACCTGACCTGGCTTGAAGCCACAGAAAGTAGGACATCCAGTGGGACCACAGGAGATCTCCATCTACTGAGAGCTCTGAGCCCTGTGGGGTTCAGGACCTGTGCTCCAGTCGCTTCCTTTGGAAGTGTAGCAATTCTGTGCGGTATGTGGCCCACTCTACTGGGTATCTGACATATTTTGTCCCCTGGCTCAGTTTGGGGGCAGCCCAGTGTCCTGTGCTGTGGGGCTGGCAGTCCTGGATGTCTTAGAGAAGGAGCGACTGCAGGCTCATGCTACCTGTGTGGGCAGCTTTCTGATGGAGCTTCTCAGGCAACAAAAAGCCAAACATCCTATCATTGGTGATGTCAGGTAAGGCTCTGAGACAGCAGTCAACCCCCCAATAACCAAGGACCTCCCAGGGCTCAGGATAGTCCATATTATTCAACCTAATATGGATGGTAAGAATTTTTATGTCCACATTCCAGAGGAACTGCTACTCAACACTGTACTTTCTAGGGAAGAAAGCTCAGATTCAGTCTGAGCACAGGCTGACCCCAACCCTCTTTCCTCTGTCCACAACCCAGCCCCCATCCCTTCCCAGTTTATTCCCCAGAACTGTTTTCATCCATTCCAAGGGTTCCTAGGCTCTCTGCCTCCACAGGAGGCACAGGGACAGTCCCAGATAGTTCCAACAGGGGTGTCTGGTTGAGGCCCAGGCAGAATATGAGTAGGGATGGTGGCCTTTAGACCTGGCCTTCTGAGATGTCAACTTTTCCAGGGGTGTTGGACTCTTCATTGGTGTGGATCTGGTCCAAGATGAGGCCACGAGGATGCCAGCAACCCAAGAGGCTGACTATGTGGTAACCAGGTATTTTTTTCCTTCAAGTTGCCTTCTAAAGTAGAAATCACCATGATGCCTCTTTGCACAACTTAAGGCCTTGAATAGGAGGGAGCCTCCCTCTGTCCACCCTGTTCCCAAAAATCTGGCTAAACAGCTATAGTATCTGGGCCTGAGGGGCAGAGGCAGCTGATTTGACCCTCTCAACTGAGCTCTCAGGACAGGAAATTATAGCTGTCAGCCATGTACCCAATGCCAGGAAGCCCTAAATTTCACACAGGGCTGGAGAAGGAAATAGCTTTCCTAAAGCTTCATCTGAGGGCTACTATACCACCAAGACTGGGGGGACTCCCCATTCCCAGAGTGCCAGGTTGTTGGAATGGTTTCCCCCTCTTCTGGACTGGAGATGTGCAGCTGGGGCTCACTCTATCAGCCTCCTAACCTGGGGTCTTTCACTTGAACCCCAGGCAGGACCTAAGGCCTCAGGACCTCTTCCCCTATTACTGTCTTCTTTATCTCCACTCCCCATTCCTACCTGCCCCCCCCCCAACAGAAACCCTCTCTGGTATGCCTTTATTCAAATTATGAAACATTCAAGATCTTGTGTGCTATTTCACCCTATACCATATTAATGTAAATCCTTTCCCTCAAATGTTTGCAGTGGCCAGTCCCTGCCAGCTCACCCAACATCTTCACAATGAGCCTTGGGGATTCTGAATGGTCAGGTGGCAGAGAAGCCAGATACCAGGTTAATTCTTACACCTTCACAACAGTAAATATGGGACAGGTGTTCTACCTGCAGTGACCCTGCTAGGTGGCAGAGCTAGATTAGGCCCAGGGGAGAATCCACAGTTCAAACTTTATTCTTTCCAATGTGCTGCAAAGAATGGAACAGGAAAAAGAAGCCAGAAGACAAATTGAAAAAACAAGCCCCACCCCACCCCTGGTAATATTGTAACAATAAAAAATAAAAAAGAATGGGAGCATAAGTCAAAACACAAATAAGTCATTTGAGACCCTTTTGTCAGTGGCCAAATATTAATGTGGAATATTAAAAATTATTCATCTTCCCAAAAAGAATGGGAAATTAATAGTCCTGTCTGGGATGACAAGTTACCCTAGGAGGCATGGGGAGGGAAGTTACTGAAGCTTGGCAAATGTTACAGAATTCTCATTCCATTCATGTTAGACATGTTTCATTAGAAAGGGGACATACTACACACCATAAGCCATGCACAAAAAAAGGGAAATGCAGGCATTGTTGATAACCCTGGTCAGTCTTGGCTTGGTATAGACTGGAGAAGTCAGACCCATTTTGGGGGCAGCAGACTCAGAGCCAAGTGCATTCCAGACAAGGGCCATTAATGCTGGGCCACAGGATGAGCAGGACTTTGGCAGGGTGGACAGGGCAGTGTCTTGGTGGGCAGTGTCTTGGTGGGAAGTGACTGGTGAAGGACTCTGAAGACAGTGTAGCTTGAATCCTGGACATTAAGCCAAAGTGAGGATGAAGAAGGCTTAAATGTCAAAGGGGTGTCCTGTCCTCACAGGCTGAAGGAAAACTACATTTTGCTAAGTGCTGATGGCCCTGGAAGGAACATTCTGAAGTTTAAGCCCCCAATGTGTTTCAGCCTGGACAATGCACAACTGGTGGTGACAAAGCTGGATGCCATTCTGACAGGTGAGCTTGGAACAGCAACTGACCATGTTATCTAGAGCCCCCAGCATGCACTAAGGGGCATGAGAGCCCAGAAGAAGACAGGATATCCTTTAGACACACACCAAGTTTGTGAAGGGCCTTCCAGCCCAAGCCTCTCCTATTCCTGCCTGGACCTAAAAGAGCTTTCTAGCCCTTTGGGCATCAAGACCCACCTACCTGGGCTAGACCCCATTACATGTGCTTAAAGTCACCCTGAGACACAGATGGCAGCAGCTTCCTTCTATACTGGAAGCTAGGAACACATTCACCTAGCTGGGGGGTGGCTGAAATGAGATTTGTTCAGAGACGGGACAACAATAAACTTCTTCCCCAATCACTTAGAATGGTCAAAAATAAGCCCAGTGTATCCCCCTCAATCTACTTACATCTCTACCAAACTGAGATTAAGCCCTGTTGAGTGAGGCTGTATACCATTTGTGAAGACCTTTGAGACCCCCATATAGGCAAAATTATCTGTGGAACATGTCAAAAGCAATCTTTCCTTTCCACCTCTGGGTTACTTCTTTGCTGACCACAGGTACACATATGCCCAGGGCCCTGGAGCTGAACAAAGTCCAATCCCTGCTAGACAATTTGAGATGGTAGGGGTTCTGATGGATAGTGTTATTTGTGGGGAGCCTAACAAACCAGAAGCTAACTGGCTACAGAAGTGGTTTAGGACTCCTGGACACAGCCTGAAAGTAACAAGAGAACTGAGGGCTGGCTTATGTTTTCCAGGTGTATGTATGGTTTCCTGCCAAGAAATTGCTAGCCCACCTCTGTGAGTAAGGGTCAGGTATGAAACTGGCCATGTAGGTGGGCCCAGTCTCTAAACTGCTATCCAAGCAGCTTTGGACACTGAAGGCTCCAGAGAAAGGTGTTCCATTGGGGTGGCTTTGTGGTCTTTTTCAGATATGGAAGAGAAAGTGAGAAGTTGTGAAACATTGAGACTTCAGCGCTGCTCAGTCAAACATCCTCCAGGTGAGTGGGCCTTGCCTCTTGTTCTTAAGAGACCCAGAGATTGTTTCTTACCATCAACAGCCATTATCCTTAGCAAAATGAACCTTCTAAAACATTCTTGTTCTAATAGCTCCTTCTCACAGGTTACTTTCTTCAAAGGTGGGAAGCTCTTACTTCCCTGGGTATTATCTACCCATCCCCACCAGAAAGTCTCTAAAACTTGGCCTGCACTTGTTGGCTAGGATGAGAGGGCAGGAATAGCCATTTCCTCCCTCAGTGAGCTTTCTATGCTGAGAAAACCAACCAAGGATGTGTAGGGTGTGTATGCCTGACAGGATGCTCTCCAGAGATGGAGGATATAGACCCAAAACAGCTCACAAAAGGTCAGTAGTCAGGTCCTTCATCCAAGCTGTAACCCACAACTGGGTCAGCACCTGAAAGACCTCGCTATGGGAGAAGGCCCCAGCCCCAGAGCACCTGGCACCCATACTCTGGGTAGGTCTCACGGCATATCCCACACTCACCCAGGCTTGGGGGTTTTAAAATTTTTATTTCAAAAGCTTGGATAGCTTCAATATCCAGGTCGTGGCAAAATCAGGACACGTGTAAAATACCTTACAATACATTAGATTCCCAAAAGGTACCAAAAAGTACAGTAAAATTAACACTTCCATTACAGGAAATGTATGACACAAATAATATAAAATTAAAAGGTGGGAAAAAAGGTGACACTGGTTTCCTAAGATACATTTTACTCTTTACAACCAGGGTCCACAGGTCCAGGCTGCAGAGCGGCAGCAGGAAGCAGACCCTCCAACCTGGTTCTAGGTAACCTGGTAATAAAATCAACCCCTAATGCCGCTCTGGCCTGAGACACCACACGCCGCCTAAAACTAGAGCTCTGGAAATAGTAAACAGGAGAGTGATTTCTGGGGGGGAAATTTTAAATAAGATGCACATGGGACAGGCCATAGAAAGTTTGCCAAGTTAAATTTGGTACATAATTGCGTTCACTCCGTATCCAACAAAGCGTGTGCGGTCAGTCAGTCAGCTGCTCCTGCTGCCGCCTCAGTATGGCTTGTAGTTATTCTGATGACCACCGCGTCGCTGGCTCTTCCCGTAATTTGTACTACCCTGACCTAGGGACAAGAACAACGTAGCAGCTACTACTTACTGAGCATTTACCTTGTGCCAGGCGCTTGACACGCATCCTCACAGGATCCTCAACCCTGTACAGTAGGGATCACCTCTATTGTACTGAGGCCCTGGAGCTAGAACTCCACTGGGTAGCTCCAGTGCCTGAGCCAGGGCCTGTCTGACTCCAAAGCCCCTGCTGCCAGTGGCCCCTGCACTGTCTGACCTGCCCCCCTGGTGGGGGAGTGGATAGGGCCTCCCTCTCCTACTTACTGTAGTCGTAGCCGGGGCCGTAGCCGTAATAGCCATAGGGCGAGTAGTCGTAGCCGCCATAGCCGGGCCCGTAGCCCTGCTGGTAGCCGTAGCCCTGGTTCCAGTAGTTGCCGTAGCCCTGATTCCAACTCTGACTCTGACCTGTGGGGGGAGCAGGGCACAGGGGCCCATGGACCATTTAGCACACGCAGGAGCTAGGATGGAGGAAATCCTGCCCTTTGGGTGGCGGGGTTACAATGGCAACTCAGGCAGAAGCCATGGGGCTGCTTTCTGTTTTTAGAGGGCCCTGGGCCCAGCTCTGGGCCTGAGACCGGATCAGGAGGCCAGGATGCTAACTTCACCTGGGGTACAAGTGGCTTACTCAAGTCACCCTCTGATCACCCCCACCCTTCCCTGGCAGCTTGGCCTTGAAAAAGATGCAGTTCAGGCTTTGGAGTCAGAGGGCCTGTGATGGAAGGAGGTAAGCGCCTGGCACAGCTCTGCCCTACCCTTCTGCCCACTGGCCCCTGTGTGTACCAAGACTCAGAGGACAGCCACAGAGCCAAGCACAACCCATCATGCCCCCGCCCAGAATGCAATGCAAATGCTCCCTCTGCCCTGGGGCCCCAAGCCGCACAAGTGAAGACAGACAGGTCTCTTCCATTCCAGGAGCCACAGCAGCAAAAGCACACAGCTGACCCAGGAAAACCATTCCTATTCCTGCCCCATTCCCATTTCACACACTGCCTGCCCACCCATGCTGCACAGAACACCAGAGGCAACCCCAAAACAGGCACAGAAGGCATCTTACAGGCAGGGAAACAGGACCCATCTTCATTGAAGTTTCACTTACCTCCACCTCCACCGCCACCACTGCCTCGATTCCCTCTGTTGCGGTTTCCTCGGCCCCCAGAGCCATACTGCTGCTGCTGATAGACTTCTTTGGGCTGGGCCACCTTGATTTCACACTAAAAGCCAAAAAGACAGTGGGTCAGGCCAGTGAGGCTAGCTCAGGACAAAGACTTTCACTGCAACACTCAGATGGTAGACTGGGCATGTCAATTTGCTCAAAATATGCTGGGGCAGAAATCCATGTGTGCTAAAAGCTCCTAAAACCAACTAAAACCCAGGGCCTTTCTTTAAGAGAACCTTTCCTAGGAAAATGCACTGGACCAACTACAGCCCAGGAGGGCAAGACACACCAGACATCAGGGGAACAGAGGACAGATGGCCTGGGAGTTGGCACCACCTCTGTCCTGCTGAACAAGAAGACCAGAGACTTTTCAGAGAGGTCTTGGGCACTAGAGACATTTCATTTTTCTTTCTTTTCTCTTTTTACAGAAGAAACTCATCCCACCCAAATACTCTACTGAGAAAACCCTGACCTCCATCACAGTTTCTGAGGCTCAGCATGGGGCTTTGCCTGAGACCACACTGCCACCCATCCCTCTGCTCTTCCAAGCACTAACCGTTGGGATAAGACCATGTCTACATCCCCACCACAGGCCCAGAGGGTCAGTTTCCTTCCTGCCCAACATCTGCACTGGGCAAGGGGATGGGGATTGTGTCCCTGAAAATAAATCAGTGGTACTTAAGGAAAATATTGACAGACACCTCCATTAAAAACAGTAAAAATCACTACACATTGTGTGTCCCCACATAAGATACATTTAATTGACATTTGAACCTGCTAAGTGATGTCTGTTTTCTAACCCATTTAATTAAAAATTGAGTTGATTACACTCAACTGAATACTTATTTGTAACACCCACCATTAAAATGTTAGCTTAGAGGCTCTTACCACTGCTTTGTTCGCATGCACATAAAGCAGTCTGTCACTGTCCACTATAGGAACAACTCACATCTCACCTGCTTATTTTATAAAACATTTAGGGACCTAATCCCTATCTGGAGCTTTCTAAACTCCTAGTCAGGATGGGGACTTCTAGAAGCCCCACCCTACCTGTCCCACCTATCTGACTTCCACTCCTGCTGAGACACACAGCCTGCCACACCCAGCCACAGAGGGCCACACCTTTAACTCTGCTAACTGCCATCCTGAAGCTTAAACTATTCTCTCCTCTACCAGAGTTCAGGGGAGGAGGTGCACCTTTCACTACACATGACTCCACATATGAAGGCAAAACTGGTCCTGGATTTAAGCTGGCCTGGTCCCCAGATGCTCTTTTAGGATCTTTGCCTGTGGAAGGATTGTCTAGAGCAGTGCCCAAAGGGATATATCCCAAGATGAACAAAAAGAGGTCATCAGGAACAGGGCAAATCCTCAAAATCCTTACCATAAAAGGTAGTCTATTGAATTGCATAAGTTCTAAAAGACCACCTGCTCCAGTCAAGTCAAGCGCGTACTTTGGAGAACTAACTTGCTAATTAATCTCTGACATAACCCAACCTAACCCACACCTGCAAGAGCCAACTTTCCAGGAACAGAAAGATGAGCACACACAGCTAAAACACCATACCTTGCTTCCACTGATAGTATGGAATTTTTTCTCCAGAACTTTCTTCACAGGATCTTCTTCTTTAAAAGTAATAAAAACAAAACCCCGTCTTTTATTCAACTTGGGATCCATTGGAAGCTCAATGGCCTCAATCTGTAAAAACAAACAATGCTCAGGACCAAACCCCTCCTACCATTGCGTATAAACTATTGGAGAGAAGACCCATTAAAAGGCCAGAGAGTAAGAAAGCCCTACTGAGGGCTCCAACTAGTCAAGACTATCAAGGATGGACCAAGAAGGAAGCAAGCAGTCTCAGAGCAGCTGGCAGGCCACTCATGAGGCCACCACACTCACCTCCCCAAACTCTCTAAAGTACTCCCTGATCTTTTCCTCTGTGGCTTCAGGATTCAGACCCCCTACAAAGATTTTCTTGACAGGGTCCTTCTTCATGGCCATGGCTTTTTTAGGGTCAATTACCCTGCCATCCAGCCTGTGTTCCTTCTGGTCTAGGACCTGTTTCAAACAGAAGGGATCAGATTATTATTCAGTAAATGACCATGGAGGCCCTTCTCTCTAAGCCTCAAGATTCCCACACAGGTACACAAAATGTGCTTCATGCCCTCCAAACTCCACCCCAGCCCATCTTCCAACCCACTTTCTCCAAGCTCCCAATACACCTGGTTCACCTAAACACCTATAAATCAGTCCCCTCCTCTCCTCTCCAACTCTCTTGACTATCCAGTGCTGGGATCTATTTTAATTGTATAGTCAATGACTTCTCCAAAGTCAGTAATAGTCCACTGAGCCCTTACCCACCCTGCCCAAGAAGTCCCAATGTAGGGCCCATTTCTTTACAATAAAGGAGCAGTGATTATGAGCAGACTTAAGAGTCGGGCTGCTAGGGATTGGAATTCTCACTCTACCTGTAACTACGTGATCTCTTCCACTAAAATTTGAGGCTTAGGATTTCGTTTTTTCCTATATGGAGCTAAATGCTTATCCTCATAATAATCTAAGAGACTCAGTTCTAATACCCACAGTAAAATGTTCAGCATGGTGCCCAGAAATACGCACATAAAAAGAAACAAACACCAACAATACTCTTCCTGAACCATTTCACCACTTACTTCCCATTAAACCTGTATTAATCCCTCAAAAACAAGAATGTGACAGTCCTAACCTACTTGTCCCAAAGCACTCAACTGCACAGCACACAAGCTAAACATTCTGTACAACAGTATCTTTAGATTTCAAATCCTATACATTGAGACTGCTGATACCCAGCTTACCTTCTCCACACTGGCAGCATCTTTGAAGAGGATAAACCCAAACCCTCTTGACCGTCCAGTGTTGGGATCCATTTTTATTGTACAATCCACGACCTCTCCAAATTTAGTAAAATAGTCCTTTAAATCTTTTTTGCTGGTATCCCAGCTCAGACCACCAACGAACATTTTTCTGAAATGGTAGAGTGAGATGCATGGCAACAAATCTTGTAAGAAAGCTGTGATTTTAAGCTTTCAATGAAATGATTATAAAGCCAACATCCTGTAGACAAAGTCTACACCCACCCTTAAGAGTCTACAAGGGCACTACATTTTAAGGAATGTTAAATTCTATTGTCCTCCAATCTCAATTCAACTTGGACCCCACTGCCCTCTGATCTCAGTGACGTTTAACCACACCGTGCAGTCCCAGGCTCTGAGCGAAAACGGAAACGTTGCCAGGGGTATAGGCCCAGACCACTCAAAACTGAAAATAAGGTATCCAACCACCACGAATCTATGGGCTAGCGTCCCTTCCAGTCTTCACCACCTCCAAGAACTTGTTTCAAGGAACTCGAAGCTTCCTGGGGCCGAGACCGCCCAGAGTTCAGACCATGACTCCGCCCCCGGGAAGAGGCGGAGGAGGGAGGCCTGGGCCCAGGCGCGCGCCAACTCCGCCCACACAGCCCCTGCGCAGCCCTAGACCCGGCCGGGCACCGGGTCCGAGCGCTTTCCCTCTTCCGGGCCGTCCGCCCCGGAGCCGACTTCGGCCCGGCAGCGCGCGGGCGGCCCCAGGGCGGCGCCAAAGTCGACCCAACAAACTCCTACAAACTCCAGAGCGAGTAGCAGCTCAAGAGCTGAGCAGTGAGCGTGGCGGGGTCCGGTCCGACAGCCCCTCCCCCCGCCGCGTGGCGCCAACAAAAGGCGGCCCCGGAACAAAGGCGGCGGCCCCGTCCGCCCGCGACCGCACCTACCCCGCGTCTTCCTCGTTCTTGCTGGCGTTGATCTGGTCGCCCTCGGCGCCGTTCTGATTCCCGCTCGGGGGCGCCGCGGTCCCGCCTCCAGACCCCGCGGCTGCTCCAGTGCCAGCCCCTGCCGGCGATTCGCTTTCGGGAGCGGCCTCATGTCCGTTCTCAGTGGCGCCCGTAGTCTCCATGGGCTGCTCCTCACCCGTTTCCGACATGGTAGGGCAGGCCGCGGCGGCTCCTGCAATGAGCGACCACACGCGGCGATAGCGCGTCAGGCCGGCACGACTCTTGCCCGAGCTCCCGCCCGCCTCCCGCGGCCCGGTCGCTCACCTCGCCGCCGATGACGCCGCGGGGCCCACTTGTCCCCACCCGCCGGGGAAGGCGCCGCGGGCTCGGCCGCGCTCAAGCTCGCGCTGCCGGGACCTCGCCTCCGTCCACTGACGGAGCCGCTCCGATGGAGCTCCCTCCTCCTCCTCCTCGGCCGCCGCCACACAGAACGCACGGACCACAGCCCAGGTCCGACTCGCGCGGTGCAGCCGCCTGACAATGCCGACTCGTGGAGCTCTTTATAATACTGGAGCCGGGGGAGACACCTCGCAACAAAAGGCATGCTCATTGGCTGGCTCCTCCCGTCACTCACCCTTCTTTCGGCTTCCTATTGGCCACGACAGCGCGCGCGCTCCAGGTAGGGGAGGGCTTTGTCCTCATTTTAGAACGCGCGCGAGTCTGGGCTCGGTTGAGGATTCGGAGTGTCGAGGGGAACGGCGTTGTGTCCAAAATCTTGTAGGCTCCAGGCGGACTCTCTACTTTCTGGAGCTCAAATCGCTTGCCTTCTTACGCACCCCCACACACATTGGCAGCCTAGGTCTTCCCGATTCCCAAGAGGAAACTGAGCGGGAGAAGTCTCGAAGCCCAAGGTCGCCCGGATGAAGTAGCAGAACACGAGCTTCCGAGATAGGGTGTGTTGCTATCTCCAAAGCTCTCAGCACCGCTTGGAGTGATTGGGATGGAGCCCACCTACCCCCTGAACCTTGGTGATCGGAAAGACCTGCGCTCTCGCCCTTTCTGCCTTCTCCCCCAGTAATAAGGGGTTAGGAGGTTTCGCCAGGTGTCTCGCACCGAGAACGGTGGGACCATGGTGTTTCCCAGTCTCTGGGCGCCTGGCTCCACTCATGATTAAGATCACATTTACCTTGTGTTATTTAACATTTTTCCTTACATTTCCTTAGTTTTGCTGAATTCGTTCTTGAGAAAAATATTTCATTCCCGTTAAATGAGTTTTTTGGGGGTGAAGAACTAGTTCTCGTTTCCTAACTTAAAAATATTTTAAAACCAGCCCTGCGCGATGGTGCATGCCTGTAATCCCAGCGCCTCAGGAAGGTGAAGGAGACAGACTGCAGGCCAGACTGGGCAATTTAGCAAAACTCTATCTCAAAATTTAAAAAAATAAAAATAAAAAGGGCTGGAGAGGTATTTCAGTGGTAGAGCACCCTTGGGTTCAATCCCCAGTACCTCCAGAAAAATACTGAAAACCTTTATCACCAAACTGGAAAAGGCTTGGGTAATCCCGTGATTCCTTTAATAATCATATGGATGGCAGGCCCCAGATGGACTAGAACTCCAAATTCAGAAGCTTGGGGATTACTTGTCCTACTAACAGAACATAATCTGACACTTCCCACTGAATTACCAAAACCAGGCCCAGTGTGGTGTGGCAGGCTGGACATTTTGTTCTCATCTGGTCTGCTATCCTATGGATGATGGAATCATCACTGATCTATAAATGACAAAAGTGAAGCCCAGAGCAGTGATCCCAGGCTAATCAACAGACTCATGAACAAACTACAGACAGTATGCTGTTGCTCTGAGATTGAAAAATGTGACAATTTCACATTTAATGACTTCAAACTGGGTGCGGTGGATCATGCCTATAATCCCTGATGCAGGAGGATTAAGAGTTCAAAGCCAACCTCAGCAACAGCAAGGCACTAAGCAACTCAGTGAGAACCTGTCCCTAAATAAAATACAAAAAAGGGCTGGGGATGTGGCTCAGTGGTTGCGTGCCCCTGAGTTCAATCCCCAGTACCCCAAAAAAATTATGACTTCAGACTTTTCCACAAAAATCTGAATATTTAGCTATTGCACTACATGCTGCCACCAAGGCAACAATCAAACCAGAGCTGGCATCCTCACTTTCTAGGTGAGCAAATGTCCACTGGTTCACTTCAAGGTCCATTTAAGCTCTTCACGATTTCAGTCTAGGTTCTATACCTTGAATTCATTTATTTCCACTCACCTTTAATCATGTCACTGAAATTTAGTTGTAAGGCTTACAGAAAAGTCTCTACTAAATGTCCTTCTGCCTCCACCCCAGGTCTCACCACCAAAAGAAATAAGGGCCAGGAATATGGTTAGCAGGAAATGGAGCAAAGCTGCCCAAAAAATAAGGGTAATTTAAGAAATTAAATTCAAAGAGTGTAAGAGTAGCCTCAGGACATAATAATTGAGGGCATACACTCATTCAGTTGTTAATTTTCCACATGTATGCCTTCAGCATGACTTAGAAACTTTGTTTTTTTTTTGTGTGTGTGTGTGTGTGTGTGTGCGCGCGCGTGCATGCACAATTCTGGGGACTGAACCCAAGGCCTTCTGCATGCTAGGCAAGCACTCTACCACTAAGCTATATCCAGCCCTTGTTATTTTATTTTGAGACATAAATTGCCTTGAACTGGCTGACCTCGAATTTGAGATCCTCCTTTCTCAACCTCCTGAGTAGCTAGAATTATAGGCATGCATTGACATGACTACCTTCAAAAACTTTCAATGACATACAAAATCTGAGGATACCTTTTAGACAATGCTTCACAGATTGCAAAATGCTCCCACCAACATTGCTACGTTGGAGCTTCAAAATAGCTTTGTGTAGACAGGGAAGCTGAGGCAGGAGGATTGCAAATTCAAGCCATCCTCAACAACTGAGTGAGACCTTTTTTTCAGAAAGCTGCTGTTTTAGTCAGATTTTTTGCTACTGTGACTAAAGACCTGACAAGAACAATTTAAGAAGAGAACAAATTTATTCAGGGGCTCACAGTTGCAGAGGTCTCAGTCCATAGAAAGCCAGCCCCATTCCTTGGCATAATATCATGGTGGAAGAGTGTGGTGGAGGGAAGCAGCTCACATGATGATCAGAAAGCAGAGTCTCCACTTGCCAGATATAAGTGAAGACTATATTTTTAATATATACCCCAAATGGCATGTCCCCAATGCCCACTTCCTCCAGCCACACCCTACCCACCTTCAGCTGCCACTCAGTTAATCCCATCAGGGAATTGATTCAGTGGTTGGATTAAGGCTCTCATGGCCCAATCCTTTCTCCTCTAAACCTTGCATTGTTTCATATATGAGCTTCTGGGGGACACCTTACATCCAAAACATAACACCTATATTCAGTTTATCCATATCAGAGTACTGAAATTATACAGCTAAAATGTGGCCACAGCTAGGCACAGTGGCACTCTCCTGTAATCCTAGCTGCTCAAGCAGCTGAGGCAGGAGGATCACAAGTTTCAGGCTAGCTTCAGCAACTTAGCAAGACCCTGTCTCCAAAAATAAAAAGGACTATGGGTATACCTCAGTGATAGAGCACCCCTGGGTTCAATCCCTAGTAAAAAATAAGTAAATAAATTAATCTGGCCACAAGGCCACAATTCACTTCCAACTCCCCATCAGGGTTTTTTGCCAGGGATCCTAGCTACCATGGGACAAGCTATCTCTGACTTCTCAGTTCCTTCATCTAAATTAGGTCTCATCAGATTCTAAGGCTCAAATAAAGAAACAGCTTAGAAAATATAAAGAACTACAGGCAAGTGGGAGTCAGACTCAGCAAAAAAATGCCCCCAGTCTGACAGAGGCAGGGCATCAGGATGTTCGGAAGCAGTAGGAAATCCCTTGTTTTGGTTTTGTTTTGTTTGTAGTGGTAGGGATTGAACCCTAACCCTCCTGCATGCTAAGGAAGTACTCCACTACTGAGGTACATCCCAGCACCACCCCCCAACTGTAGACAGGATCTCCCTGAGTTGCCCAGACTGGCCACGAATTTGCAATCTTCCTGCCTCAACCTCTTGAGTAGCTATGATAACAGGCAGAGCCTGACCATGAAATCCCTTTGACACAAGGGTTCTCACTGTTGTTATTGGGTCCCAGTTAAGGACTCTGAGTAGAAGGCATTTTCCATGACAATGAGGTTTTCAAGGCAGCAAGGGGTCTTAAGGATGGGGTCAAGTCAGGAAGGACCCCAAGAGGCTCATAGACTACAGTATCCTGGCTTTAGGGATTCAGGCTGCCCAGTAGTATATGTGTTAAATATATAGAGAGTCTCCAATCTAGGGCTAGAGTTGTAGCTCAGTGGTAGAGCTCCTATTTAGCATGTGTGAGGTCCTGGGTTGAATCCCCAGCACCAAAAAACAAAACCAAAAACTCCTAGTTTAGATGAGGATATACACAAAATGCACTTGCATAGTTTTTTTTTTTTTTTTAATTACATGAACTAATTTTTCTCACATTATCATCATTATTATTTTTAGCTGTGCCTGTGAGGTGGAAGTTGTACCAGTTAACTGCAAATATATTGTGCCTCTGCTGTGACCAACTCCCACTCTGGCCACTTCCCACAGGCCACCAGATGGTTTGCCACTCCCCCACTTCAGGGCTGACTCTGACTCCAGCAGGAGAAATCTTTGTAAAACGCAGGTTGGATCTTGTCACTACTCTGTGTGAAAACCTTGGCTGCCTTCCCAGTACTCTGGGAAGGAAGTCCTAACCCTGACTTGGGTGAATACAAGTGAGACAGGACTCTGAAAACTGTGCCCCTAATTGCCAGCCTCCCTTGTTATGTGATCTGTGAGTACAAGGGTCACTTCCAGGCTTGGGAACTTGAGACTGGGACCTCTTCCCATCTCATTTCCCGGGACACCATGTGCTTTGCACGGCAGAGAAGAGCCAAGAAGAGATGTTCAACCCACATCAGACTTGACACAGCTAGAAATGAACCTGTACTGTGCCCAGCATAAAGATTTGGGATTTTTTTTTTTCCTAACTGCAGCTTCACCTAACTTGATCATGCCATATGGCCCATCATGGCCATCCTGGCTGCATCTCATTGCTACTCTCCACTCAAGCTTTGCTGGATTACTTTTATTTCTTGTAACTCATCAATGTCTGCCTGTCTGGGGGGGGGGGGGGGGGAGGGGGCTTTACATTTGCTGTTCTCCTTACCTGCAATACTATACCCCAAATTTCAACTTCCTGTTCTATACATCTGTTGTGGGTTGAATGGTGTTCCCCAAAAAAGATTTGTTAAAGTCCTAACTCCTGGTACCTCTGAATGTGAGTTTGTTTGGTAATAGGGTCTTCACTGGTATAATAATCAAGTTAAGATGATGTCATCTTAGACTAGCGTGTACCCTTAATTAAATATAGCTGCTGGCCTTAAAAGCAGAGGAAAAGAAACATAGAAATAGACAGGGAAAATGCCATGTGACAGTGGAGGCAGACATCGGTGT